GGGGTAAAGTTGCAGTTCTCGCCCACGTTTCTTTTGTCAGGTGGTAATCAAATTGTGTTTGGTAAAAAACGCCGAAATATATGGTGTTGCTAGAGGAGGTATTGTCTCTATCACGTGATAGGACATCAATGCCGTTCTAAATCCCGTGCTACTTATGAGCGTTTGGATAGATACTGTATCCTCCAGTAGCAGGATAGGTGAGCGAAATATGTGAATTGAAGTGCAACTGTAGGTCTGCAGCTGTTAAATGAATCGGATGAACGATAACATTGTAGACTGAAGGGACGCTGGTTTAATATACATAGCACTTTGCTACGATGTACCATCATTTCCGCACGCGTCACGCTATCCGGAGACATGCCATGAATCCGACGCATCTCTTCAATAGAGTAGAATGGCAGCCCCGCATGAAGATAGCAGTAAAATTTGTTGTGTGTAAAGGCATTGCGGTAGTCATTTCCTATTACATATTTCAGCCAGCTACAATTATAAAAAAGCAATGTTCCTGCAAGTTGAAGAGCAAATAAAACACCATGCCCTCCGTATTAGTTTCGACAATGGTCATTTTCTCTAAGATTCGTTAGCTCTTGAATATATGTACTTTTAAGGGGATACACCGAGTAAAATACTTTGTGAGATGTAAAAAATTCATAACGCCAATCTTGAGTCTGTACCATACGGTATCCGTATCAAATAATGCCACACAATGACATTAACTCCAACAATCTCTTTCACGATCGTACCCAATGAGGTTCAAGTCGATGTTAAGCGTCTTCAGCATAACTTCCATTGTAAACTATCCGCTGTCCATTAGTCGAAGTATTCTATAAAATTACCTCAGTAAAAGAACTTGATTTAGTCAACATACTTCATCGTCTTCCTCTTGTTCAACTGGTCTCTGCTCAGCCTCCTGTGGTTTTTCATCATCGCCCCATGGATTTTTCGGCCTAAGCATCTCTTTCCAACCTCCAGAACTACCCATGTTCCTGACCCTCTCACTTGCATACTCAAAAAGTACATCAGCAGCACCTCTTGCTGCAACTCTCCACTTCTCAATCAATTCCTCCAATTTTTCATCCGAATCATCATATTCCGCTGATTCAATCTTCACAGCTTGAAGGACTGTATCAAGCGACGCCTTCTTAGAGCGAAGAGTTGCTTCTAGTTGTGACTGCTGCTTATAGAGCGCTGCAAGTTCTGGATCAATTGGTTGCTTGGCGAATGACGGCGGCCTGCTACGGGGGACCAGTGTAGGTATTTTTCGAGCTTTAGATGCAATTATTGGGGTTGGTGATTGTGGCTCTTTGGGGGCTTTTGGTGGGGTTGTATTGCTCAAGGGTTTGCGACCTGATAATAGGGGTGAACGGAAAGGTTTCGAGAGGGTGTTTGTAGCTACATTGAGGCGGCGGCGCTTGGTTTCTTGGGCTATTGATTGGGAGTCAAGGGAGCGCTTAGATGCCGGTGTCTTTGTGGGATTAGCAATGGTGATATTGTCTTCAGAGTCGGTTTCTACCATCGCGATGGTTGCCAGTGTTGATGTTTAGAGGTTGAGGCTTCATGTGATGTGACGAAATGTTATGCCAAGACGTCTGTCTTATCGATAAGGATAAGTATCATGTCGCGCTGTTACGCGTCGTCATCCTTGAGACTTCTTCAATCACAGGACCCCAAGCTCTGCGTTATGATTCAGATAAGTTAAACTAAACTTATTAGATCTCCCAACCGTTTATGCGAATCAAACTCAGCATTCGTATGATTCATCTGTATAATTCAATGTCATTTCTGAACTCTCGCTTCACAACCGATCACTCGCGGATAATACCAACAAAAGCAATCCCCGAAGGCAAAATTTTGCTACGAAGCCCTCTTGTTGTCACTGCAAGTACTTACAAGTCCCCATAGATACATGCGGTCTCGGCCCCACGTGTACCCTTACTTTGGTGGTCTCGATCCGAGACATAGATTTCCATCTCCTTCTTGTTCATTGGCGGGCCCTTCCCATCTGTGTGCTATCTCTTGTCCGGCCGGACACCCACCACTCTTATCTCTTTCTCAGGTGACAGAAGGATGTAACAAATAAGGCAGCGTATTCCCCTGTCATGCGTTCTGCAATCCAACTACTTTCGCTGATTGAGAGTAATTGCAGGTTCGCGCCCAGTGATGATCATCGAGGACATTTTGATCAGCTGAGCAGGTGCCTCTTTCGAATTAATCAGTGTCCAACTTGTCATATTCTCATCTATGTGAAGGTTTTTCCCTCGGGGGTGAGTAGTCAATATTCCCGGACGGCAAATCATGGACGGCGTTCTTCAGTGCATTGGAATTGGCATCGTCGCAATTCAGCTGAGAAATTTTACGGGGATCTTATGCTGCTTCGATCTCGTATCACCGATTGACTGCATTCTAAATGTCTGCCTTCTTGGTTGTGTCTGGTGGCGACATTTTGGATCGGTTCCATGGATTATCCGATGCACTGCCGTATTTTGTGACGGACCTTAACAGCTGGTTCTATTATCATGTTATCGAGGTGTCCTCACTACCAATAGCACCTCTTTTAGTGCAGTTAGAACCGGGATACTGACGGAATTGGATAAAACCCACCATGCATAAAGTGCAAATATTATGGGCCCACACTTTGAAACCCAGGTTCAATTGGAAGGGAAATAGGTCCGCACAAAAAGAAACCAAGATATTTGAAGAGCATGTGGGGTTTTCATTACATCCTTGAAGTGTCGGGGACAATCCGGAGATGTCGGTTTCTGCTCTGAAACTCGATATATCACATATCTCTTGGATGTATTACTAGTTTCCGGTCATGCTGTGTATTTCATTGGTTGATCGTATCGAGAAACATACCCTAGATGGGGTATTTTCATATGCATATGCATCGAGGAATCTCTAAACGGCCCCAGCAATTTGCTTTTGGTCAGTGCCTGGCATGATGAAGGCCCATTCCCAACAGCTAGCGTTGTCGGGCTTGGTACACACTGATGTAGCCTAAAACGCCTAAGTACAAACAGGTCAGTGCATATTTCCAAGTCCTTCAGCGGCAAATGAAATCATTTAAGATCACTCGATTGAGCTAAATTGGATATTACTGCCAAAGGGCAATTCGCACGAATAGGCCCTTTTCCGCGCGCCGCCCCAGTCGCCATACCAAGGCTCGTTTGTTTAGAGAACGAGCTACTCTGGTCCTGATTGGTTGGAATACGCGCATATGTCTACCTGTCTTCATCGTAGAAACACTGACGTAATTGAAGGGTTACTAGAGAACACTTTACTTTATTACTCCTGAGAACCTGGAGTCCCTGCTTAGAAAACACAGGTAGTTGAAAGGAACTTCTATCTCTAAGAGATAGAGAAAAGGAAGTAAACCAAGCCAAAAGAAGCCAGCTCCGATAATGAAAGTAGAACTCCTCGAACTCAAACTTCATCAAACCTTCTTCGGTGGCTCTCGGCTAGGACTGGAGCGGATGGGATAAGTGGTGTACTATTATGACAGGCCCCTTCACCTCAAATCAAGGGGCCCTTGTTGATCAAGCTTGTTTTACTTTGAACTCCGCTATGCTACTAGTCTTAGGTATGGCTTTTCCAGCATAATATTGAGCTATCACTCTAACCATTCGTCATTGAGTACGTTGATGGGGAGGCGGAAGTTTACGAAACTGTTCTGCATTTATAATTTCCATAATAAATAGGACACGTAAAGATATATGAAAGGACCCATTTCTTCAGCCCCACCGAAGCAACTAGGACGAAATAGGAAGCACGTCAACTGAAGGCAGCGGTTAATACGGCGAAACTATTTTTGTGATATTAGAAGTGCAGAAAGCAGCCAATTAAAGCTAGAATAGTGCCTATAGACTTAAAATTCAGTATATCTCGTATATTTACATTACTAAAGTGGTTTTTACCCATGAGGATATATGCTCAGGCCTCGGGGTGTTGGGTTTTGAATGATAATCACAGTATATCACTCGTTATAGTTAACTGACCTAATGCGGTTAATATGGAAGGGACCGACCGACTCACCAACCCGAATATAGAAGAGTAATAAGTAGAAATAAGTGTGAGTTCCCTTTGGACTTTGGCATTGTTTTTAAAACCGCCCCCTCCTTTTATAATGCTTTGTTTTCGTGAGCGCGAACTTCTCGTTTACAGTAAGTAATAGAAAAGTATGGAACAATCGTTAATGGTAAGAGAACTTTGGTGCCTGATGCTAACTGATCACGAAAGTTACTGGAGTTGTTTCTACGGAATACTTGGATAGGAAGGTAATAGTTTTAAGGTTCTTAGTGTACACCGTAGTAGATTTATAACATACGATTTACAAGAGCCTTAAATAGGATATTCACCTAGCTGAAGCCTTGGTATTCATACTTTATATGCCTACTTAAGCTTGATTTAGGTTAATTTGACAGTGATTGTTAAATCATGAACGATCACTCGGGCATAAAGAAATCTCTTCCTGTCGAGCCAGAGCTTCCCGAACCTACCAGAACATAACCCCGTAGCTTCTAGAATACACAGTAGTAAAAGAAACTTTTCACCCTCCCGTTCTCTTTTGTGTTTAATAGCGTCGTTGTTTTTCCAAACAAAACACGTCGTATGCGGGCGATTTAGCACTTTGTCCTAATTTCACCTAGACTAGTGGCTCGAATTAACCCCCCCCCCCCTTTTTTTTTCTTCCCTCTGTCGGCATCATTTTAAAAGATACCCACCTTGAATGACTCTGTTCACGTTTAAGCCCAATAATCTTTCGTGCTAGATAGAAACGGTGGAATAATAGCCCAGTCAGACAGCTAGCTACGATCGTACGAAGCCAAGCCCAAGCGTACATACGGGTTTTGGTAAAGCTGGTGTAATTTTAATTGTTGCAACCCATACTATTTTCGTACAGCGCCCTGTGGTTAATTTATTCGAGTTTCTTCATTCAAATTTTTCCGGCGTCACCCCATCTCGTTCGTTCAATCACTTTCTTCAATACTTTTGTATAAACAATGTCGATAGCTGGTTAGTAGTAGCATAACGAGCAGAACAATTTTTTGTGCATAATTCTAATGTCATTCTTGCTCTAGCCCGCAACAAAAAAATCTTCCCCAGGAGGGGTCCAACAGCTACAATACATTTGAGCGACCCATTTTATAAGAAACTAGAAGATATCGTAAAAAAATTCAATGATTACGCAAAACAACTTCAAATGGCCACTCCCGCTCCCGCCAAGGCATCTCAAATCATAATCGTAAAAAACTCTCTCAAAACAGCGTCACAATTTATTTTCGACCCGGCTGGTGTATTTTATCGCGAATCAAGGATATCAAGTGTCCTGAAAACCTTAACGATCCACAAAGTAAGGAACCCCCGGAACCCAGATAACGATGACAGCGAGGTCATGGCCATGGCCACCAAGCTCTACGACCGCTGGATATCCGGCGACTTCACTCCAGACCACCCGCCGAACGTCGCGAGAAGGGTCCCTAGGGCTGTAGTAGCCAATAGGGGGGAACGTCGCGTAAGGAGCTGGAAAGCTACTATCCGGAAAAACCATAAGGCACTTGGCCATAACGGCATAAAAATTGGAGAGTAAGTTTCGCCCCTTTAACCAAATAACATCCGTTCTTTATGGGCAGAGTTTAACTGGAAGCAGGCAGTGGTCGTGTCAAGAAGAAGCATGGTGGCGTGGGGCCCATGGCCATCCGATCGAAGGAATTTCTAGTACCAAAAAAACTGGTGCATATAGTATTGTAATCTCTGGAGGTTCCAGATATAAAAACCTCGATATCGACCAAGGGGCTAGAATACTGTATTCTAGCTTTAGTGCTGAGCGGAGCAGAGTGATGGGGAAGTCAAAGTATTCCAGGCGCCCTGTCCGGGTGCTCCGGGCGGCTTCCGGGAGTTCGGCGTTCACACCTGAGCAAGGGATCCGCTATGACGGTCTGTACCTTGTGGTCAACTGCTTCGAGAGGAGAAGTAACGGAGAAGTATACTGGCTCTTCGAGCTTCACAAGGTCCAGCAGCCACCACGGTGGTTGGAGCAGAAATAGGTGTCAGGAGAAAGAGTTTAGGTCTGGCCGGTGTCGACTAGGGGACCGAGTAGCTTTGTACAATCACGATTCGAGTACTTAAAGCTACCAACTGTAAAGTAGATTTTGATTTGAAGTGTTTAGGAATCTAAATATGTGCGCATGGGTCTACTTCGATTGGATCGTATCATAAGAATCGATTTATCATGGATCTTTCTCTAGATCTCTGTAATGCTTCATTTCCATATGTAATTATTATTTCTCGTGAACCGTAAGGAAAACAGTACAGCTTATAATTATCAGTTGAAGTAATTCACCATGAAAGTACTAAAATCAGATCCTAGCTAGCCCAAACGACCAGGCTCAAGCCAAGCTTATTAAAAATAATAATAATGATACATGTTCTAATACTCTATCCCAGCTTGTATCGTAAGATAATGACCCCGCTGAACAAGAGCACGAGTAGGAGCACCCCCAGCGCATTGGCATCTAATAGATCCACCCCCTTACCTCAAATCCAGTAGCAGCGAATAAGCGATCCCACCCCTCTCCTCTTCGTCGGCAACGTATTCAAATTAGTAAATCGGTTATTTCTGTGTATATCGAGAGAACAAAAAGTACTGTGAATATACTCTACAGAACTCCCACCCCTGGACTGAACCGATGATCTCCAGATGATTATGGGAATCGAACACTCGGTACTCCTCGATGTGAGTGCTACGAAGTTCAAGTTACCTATGTTGGTGGTTGAAACGAGCCCAGGATCTACACACTTGTCATAATTCATTTGACAATGGACTTTACCGTCAACATCATCATGGCTTCGACACCGATGGTATTCAACAATAAAGTGATTGTATGTGAGATGTGAAGTAATGTGTAGAGAGCTTTTCTAACGACTTAGGCTTCTGAAATTGCCACGATGAACATTCAGACCTTCTATGGAGCGTTTTATCCACAAAAAAGTCTAGTTGAACACCACTTCACAAGGTATCACTCGCACAATTCATTTTTCTTTTTTGTTCAAAGGTTGAGATTTCATTACTGTCGTTACCTCCCAGAACTAAATAAATACATATACAATATCACCCGCCATTGGGTATTAACAATAAGTTCATCCAAAGAAAACGAAAAGAAGCACTTAAAACGCCAATTTCGCATGCAACCCATCCAGCTCTCTCTGCCAGCACCTGTGCTTCGCCACTTCATTCGCAAACGCGCTCCCAAACGCCGTCGTACTCGGCTCAATCTTGGTGCTCTCCAGCAACTTCACATCCGCATTCCACCCCGTCACCACACCATAGCTCGTCACCACATCCTTGCTGTTCTGGTCCAGCGCGAGCGCCACGCCGGGTAGCACACACGCCTGTTGCACAAAGTCGATCGCATCACCGAGGGCGCCAATGGCCTTAAGGTGTCCGAATGCCTCACGCACCCAGTGGACCGCGCGCCCGTTCTCGCGCAGGGTGAGCGTACTCTGGGTGCCGGGGTTGATGTAGATTGCGTCGAACATTGTGCTGCGCTGGCCCTCGAGGTGGTGGTCGGGCATGAGGCCGCCTGTGCCAGTGGCGGGGTCGACGCCGGCAGGGAATATCATGCCGCGGCGGGGAGCGATGACGAATGTGGATGCTTGTTGGGCCTTGAGGGCCGCGCGGACGGCGGTGAAGGTGGCCATATCGAAGCCATCGGCGATGAGCATGGCGATGCGGCGGGACTTGATGGTGGGCTTGCCCGGGAACTCGGTTTGGGAGAGGCGTGGGGCTTTGAGGCCGTGGTTAGGGTGCTTGGTGGTGGCGGGAGGGTCGCCGCCTACCATCTTTGCGACGCGCTGGGCGAGGGAGATGTCGATATCCTGTGGTGAAGTTAGTTACTATTTATTTCTTGGGGAGAGATTGAGTATAGGGGCTTACTGCTAGTCTTTCAGACATGCGCTTGTACACAATTGGCTCATCGCAGTGACTTAGCTCGAAGCCTAGCGCCTGCTCAACATGCGACTTTTCATGCTCTGACAGGGAGTTGTAGAACAGCTGCGCCTGGCTATAATGCTCCTTGAATTTCGGTCCATTGACTCTTGCTTTGATGCCTGCCATCTTAGTTGCATGCTCGACGTACGCTCCCGCATCACCGTTGTAGTTTCCTGGCGGCGCAGCCTCGAAGCGGTTAGGCCAGTAGTTGACCTTGCCCTTGTGGATACGGTGGTTCATTGCACCGTCACGGTTAAAGTTCATTACCGGGCAGACAGGCCTGTTAATAGGCAACTGCTCCCAGTTAACGCCCAATCGTGAGATTTGGGTATCCTGATACGAGAAGTTACGGCCCTGGAGCAGCGGGTCGTTTGAGAAGCCAACTCCAGGAACCACGTGGGAAGTGCAGAAGGCAACTTGCTCAGTCTCCGCGAAGAACTCGTCGACGTTGCGGTTAAGTACCATTTCACCGATCTCGCGGACGGGAACGAGGTCCTAGGGTCAATGATCAGCATATCATCTTTTTCTAAAAGACTTGGACAAAGATACATACCTCCGGCCACACCTTCGTCGCATCAAGAATGTCGAAATCAAAGTTATCCTCCTCTCCCTCTGCGATAGTCTGGATGCCAAACTTCCACTTGGGATAGAACCCGTTCTCGATAGCCTCATACAGATCCTTCCTGTGGAAGTCCGGATCCTGTCCCGCCAGCTTCAACGCTTCATCCCACACGAGCGAGTGCACACCCAGCTCGGGGATCCAATGGAACTTGACAAAAGTCCTCCTCCCCTCCGCATTAAGGAGCGTAAACGTATTCACGCCAAACCCCTGCATCATCCTAAACGATCTCGGGATCCCGCGGTCGCTCATCGCCCACGTAAACATATGCGTCGACTCGGGATGCAGATACTGGAAGTCCCAGAAGTTGTTGTGCGCCGTCTGGGCCTGCGGCACCTCGTTGTGTGGCTCGGGCTTCGCGGCATGCACAAAGTCGGGGAACTTGATGGCGTCCTGGATGAAGAAGACGGGGATATTGTTTCCAACAATGTCCCAGATGCCTTCGTCCGTGTAGAACTTTGTGGCGAAGCCACGTACGTCACGGACGGTGTCGGCGGAGCCCCGGGAGCCGGCAACAGTGGAGAAACGCACGAAGACGGGCGTGGCACGTGAGGTATCATTGAGGACGCCGGCGGTGGTGAGCTCGGGTATGGGCTCGTTGAGCTTGAAGTAGCCGTGGGCACCGGTTCCGCGGGCGTGGACTACACGTTCAGGAATGCGCTCATGGTCGAATCGGTGGATCTAGATGGTCATAAACATTAATATTGAGCTTTCGAAAGCCTGGATATATCAAATAGCATACTCTCTCTCTAGCAATCTGATCCTCCAGCAAACTGGGGCCCTGTGAGTCGGGTCCTGTGGCCTTAAGCCAATGATCGACATCGTTGATTTTTGTGCCATGATCAGTGGTCATAGTATGTTTGCCCTTGTCGAAGGAGACGGTGTTTGGGTAGAGGTCAAGGATCTTTTCGTTTGTTGTAGCGATCTCGTTGACCTTGTGGGTTGCGGAGATTTTGGCCTCGTTGAGAGACTCCTGGAGTCGCTGGAACACGCCGGACATTGTGGTGATTGTGTTTTTTTATTTTATACTATATTATAGATGAATTATGCGTATTTTGATAGATATGGGGGAGGAGGAGGAGGAGTTGTGATAAACAACTCAAACGGAGATCAGAGAGGGCGGGAGAGCGTCTTTAATATGGTCTTCATTGCTCTATTCTACCCACCACTATGGAGAGCTCCAGGAGCAGCTGTCAAAGGAACCAAATGTTACTGACGCGAACATGACGTCTACGTAAATAATCCACGCACCCAGCGCAGAGCACGATATCTGTGCCTACAGTATTTGTAAACCAAAATGTCTAGAGGTGTGCCGCAAACAAGTGCATAAAGTGCCTAATTCTGGCCCGTAGTCCGTTCCCAAAGCGCTAGCAATTCCAGAAACGGCCGGTCTCAAATGCCGTCCTCGCCCTGTGGAAGACTTAGTAGATTATCATTTAAGTGCCCCCAATTGGATAGAAACGAGGGTACCCGTCCTTCCGTGAGGAACGACGTCAGAATTGCAAATAAAATAAAATGGATGTTGAATCCGCCAATCGGTGCATCAATGCGCAGGCAGGGGTTGTGTTGAGGACCACTTGAGGTAGCAGGGATCAGTGACAGGTGCAGCAACGATCTGACGACCGGTAATCCACGAGGGGATGGGCGTGGGATTCCAGATGCGCTCATCAGGTCAGGTTTCTTGGACACACGATGTCGAAGTGGAGCTTGAGTGGAGTTGTGAGGATCCGAAATCAAGGAAACATGCTCTGCGCTAGGGGTTAGGGCAGGGGGGCTGGTGGTTTATAACCGTTGCTTCCACCGAGTCGGCTGTGAACATCGGAATCTTGAATTCCAATCCTGTATGTGATGCCGTTTCTGCCCCTTTTTCAAATGAGATCCCTTTTTTGTTGATTCTCAGAGACAGGAATGTGAATATCAACCGAACTTCAATGTCCTTGATTCAATTAATTCCATACATGTAGTTAAATGTTACACGTATTTCCAGCTGTATCTCCACAGTTCACTTTACAAACTCCCAAAAGCCTCTAAAGAGTTCCGTATCGCAATAAACCCATATCTCTTACCATAGCATCTCCAGGGGCCCAGATCCCAAAAGCTGCAATCGATCATTGATCGACACTCCTTATCAGATGGCGGTTCAGCAGGGCAAACCCTAATCAGTAGCATCTTCAAACCCGTCACAACAACCGGGGTGGGAAAAAACCACCACACACAACAAGCCGGGTACAGCCAACCTTAGCGAAATCAACACGATAATCTCCAATTACTCTAACGACACACGACAAACGCCGAAACCCCTCGATAATTCAACCCCTCCCTAGGTCGGTACCGTCTTCCTGCCCCCAGCTTGCGTTTTCGATAAAAGAGCAACGTTCAACTGACAGTTTTTTTCTTCTGAATTTTCAGAAAAAAATAAGAAATGGCCCCTGCACCAAAGACCAAGACCAAGGGCGGAAGGTCCGCTCTCGCCGATGTTGTCGCCCGCGAGTACACCATCCACTTGCACAAGAGGGTACGTCTATCCCAATTATTCCGAGGCTACTGGTTTCTGTTGGAGGAAGGAAGGATGGAACGGCGGAGAGCATTTGAGCTAGTTGGGAAAGGAAGGAAATGAAGATGGAGCTCTGGGGGAAATGGAGGATATGCAAGGAAATAAGGGTCAAGTGCTGACGGGATGTGCTGGAATCTCTAGATCTTCGGTGCCAGCTTTAAGAAGCGGGCTCCTAAGGCCATCAAGGAGATCAAGGCCTTCGCCTTCCAGGCTATGGTACCTCACCTTCACCTCCGACAGGTCAATTAACGGCTTTTGGGTATCTAACAAAAAGCTCAGGGAACCGAGGATGTCCGTGTCGACCCTCTGTTGAACAAGGAGGTCTGGAAGCAGGGAATCAAGGGCGTTCCTTACCGTCTCCGTGTCCGTATCTCTCGCCGACGTAACGACGAGGAGGGTGCCAAGCACAGACTCTACTCATACGTCCAGGGAGTCAACGTCAGCGCCAAGAACACAAAGGGGCTGAACACATCAGTTGTATGTTCTCACTCTCACCCTTCTTGTCCTCTTAAGAGATTGGTAACTGACTGGTGGAATTGCTATAGGTCGAGGAATAAACGTAGCGCTGGGGTTTCTTTTTTTCTTCTTCAGGATGTCCGTAACAAATAACAAAAAAGTTAGGGGAAAAGGGGGAATCCAAAAATCTTTGTATCAAAATGATGATTCCTATTTCTTCTTCCTCGTCAACGGCGTCGGTTGGTTTCGTTATTGCATTCATTCGGTTCAAATTCGGTTCAAAAGCTACGTTCAACATTAAGTTCTTAGTGATTGCTTCAGAGATGCTTGTGATATAACTCGGAAGTTATTAAATTGGGGCGCCTGCCTGGGCTGGAGACGGTAGAAGATGGAGCTAGTTGTCCAATACACTTGTAAAGGTGGTAGCAGAAGGTCATTTAGCTATACGCTTTCAACAGAAAACAGCGATCAGTTCACCATGCAGAATAAGGTATACGCATATATTTTCACCAATAAGAATTTATGGAGCACACGTAACTTTCCCAAAGCGACCAGAAAACCCAGAAATAGGCAAAAAGGAAGAAAGAAATTTAGACAACAAGCCATAACGCAAAATATTAGTACTAAGAGTCGCAGTAGTCTTCGTAGGGGAACTCAGCTGTGAGCAGACAGTGCTCCTTGAGAAGCTCGCGTCACAGATTATCATTCGCTATGTGCGAGTGATTTTGTATGATCCATGATGGGGACAAATAATTTGATTGTTGAACATCCGAGGCGTAGATTCCCCCCCCCCCCCAAAGGCAACAGTCTCCTTCTATCCTTTGCGGTCTATATATCTACTGGAGATAAATCCTTGGTGTCTTCTACATCTATCCTTTTGACCCTTCATCCTGTGGCGTGCTGTCAATGATACAACGAATCCCACCCTGCCGCAAGATTTGGCCAAACCGTATAGTAAAATACAAATCGGTAATAATCATCACATGTTTATATATAAAAGAGGGGTGCTCTCCACAAAAATGCCACGACCATGCCATAAATCGTGTATATGGCCATCCCCAAAGTCCAAGACAGAGATCGTGTCTCACCCCTGCCTACACTTATCGAAACCCAGGTGAACGGAGGATGTCTTCTTCTATTAGGTGGAGAGGCCCCAGACAACGAAAGTGGCATTACCAAAATATATATATATATATATATATATATATATGGGTGCATGTATGGTGCGCCCACTCTTAAAGGTAGTGGATCGTGACGAAACGTCAATTGCTAATAACTTTTCAGCGGAAAATGATAGAACTCTAGTTCTAATAATGAAGTTTAATTCTATCTTTACAGATTCTTGATATCTGTCTGGGTTGTAAAGTTATCAGAGGTTGGAATTGGGTATTTTTTGGTACGTAAAATGCGCCAAGACTGAATAAAGTGGAATAGTATTATACCCATTTATACCCCAAAAAGCAAACCTGACCGAGTTGTGGCAGTTATGCAGTAAAATCGCTAGAAATGAGCACTCTAATAGGTCTATGAGTCCATCTTGCAGCCACAATTGTCCCACTTCCATATGCCGCCATGTCACCTTTAAGAGTGTGCGCACCATATTCGTTCCGGCTGCTTGGTCGAAGACGAAACTCTCCTCTCATTAACAAAGATCTAGTCTACCCCTCTGAGGGATTGCCATTCGACCATCGTAAAGCTGTTTAAACTACTTCATCCGCCGCGCCTGTATAGGATAACGTTCTCGTAGTTTAAGTTTTGTCAACATATGCAATATCTGGAACACAAGATAGAAGAATCTAAACGACCGGTACAGGTTCAGTTCTATGAGCACTCAATGCCTGGACGTACATACTTCATGCACTCTAACACCCCCCGTGAATCTTGATTCCTTGGGTGGGGCAAGGCTGTCCCCGGGCAATTAATTTCTAAGTTAGTTGATCGATTGAGCTAGAAATCTGATACCAGATTACTTATTGTATTGCTACCAGACCAAGGATTTTAGTTACGCGTTGTCATACTCTACACTGGCCCAATTATGAAGCCACGTGAAAGGTAGAAGCTAGTAATCAGATCAGTTCCTGCATTATCTACTCCATGTCTCAGGGTTATCATATCAGAGGCATAGCTGGCCTCAAGAACATTCTAGAAACCAAGTTGTTATGCAGGTACCTGATAGAGGCTTTGGTTTCAATGGCTACATTGTCGAAGACCATCTTGCTTCACTGGGATTCCACCAAACACAATTGCAGATTTGCTTTCAGAAGTCCATTTTTTAAACTCCATTGTACTTTATTCACTGACACAGAACGTAAAGTGACGTGAAAAAAGTAAGAAAAAAAAAATAGGTCCCCGTTTTAAAAGTGGTAAAAGGAAAGAACAAAACCAAACAAGAAAAAAATATTGTATACACATTTAACCCATAGCAACCCGACCTGATCCCACCGTCCTCCCATTACTGGCATAAAAAGCTAAAAACAATTACGCGGCGAATTTCCTACTAAGCTTGGCAATGACTATTTTCGCAACATAGATTAGCATCATGACTTCCATATTTCATCAATATCAGGAAAACTCACTGTGCATAGCCACAACACTGAAGATGAAACCCAAGGAGAGAACGAGGACAATGACGGGGTCGACCTTGAGTCCGGGGGACTCGTCGGTGTAGAGCTTCAACATAGTGCTGCTGCTTCCACCGGCGCCGGCAGCGCGGGTGCTGGAGGGACGGGCATTTGCTGCCTGAGCAGCCCTGTCGGCAGCAGTCTTTCGGCGCATAACAGCCTTAGGACCTCCGGGGACTGACGGAGATGACGCACGGGCTGATGAGCGGACATCGCGCTCTGAGCCAGAAGTGGCACCGGTGGGAGAAGTTGCGCGTGGTGAGGAAGACTAGTAATTACTTTGTTAACACATTGGTCCTCATAATGGTGCAGGGCAGGCAGGCTAAGCGCAGGGTCCCGTGCAAGCTTGGAGCATATGTGAAGTTTGGGCATGGATTGATCGTTTGTTTGATCTTCTCCCGATGCGCTCACTTGACTCATTACTCCCAGCATCGCATTCACCTCTGACTCCCTTTGTGCTGGTGGAGAAGCTTGGTGAGGCCACGGGTCGCTACCCGAGACGAGAAAGAGACTGTAGAACATACCATTTTTAGAAGAAAAGTTTGCTGAAGACCCAGAGATCTAGGGAATGAATGGTGGCCGAAAGAATGGGTGTTGAGTCAAAGAATGGGCGATGTGTGTTATTGTCAAAGTGAGATGATCGGTCGAGGTGTGGTCCGGGGAAAGCTTTGAAGTAAGGTAAAGGGGTGTTAGGGTTGCCGGCCAGAGGACACATCTCGACTTTCTTGTGGCGTTAGTGGTTGTGCTAGGGTTAGGTGTCACAGGATCCATGCAACCTCAATTACCAGATATGGACATCAGCATCTGGAGATTTGGTTTCAGACGTCGGCACTTCTAGTCAGATTCAAAAGTGTTATTCTGCAAACTCTTCTAACCCAGTTCTCTACCCCAGAAAAGCTGCTCCCACCCTACAGCAACCAACACCGCAGTAATTCGTCTCAGCGAACACTCACATTGGCGTTGAAATTACTTGTTCTGGTCATTTTTCTTGAAAACGCCCCTTAATCTTCCCTCATACGCGCTGTAAAAGGCAACTTCGACGTCTGTGTAACCGTCCGCTGAGAAGAATTACTGCGGTATTGCGCTTAAGCTTTCAGGCGCTCAATTGCTCAAGGCTGTACCATGGAAGAGAAGTTGGCCGAGATAATCATTAATTGCAAGTGAGCGTCCCTGATAATTCAAACTTCGGGTCTGTAGTTCCGATAGCCTGTAGGTTAAAGGTAGATACTCTAACTAGTATCGGATGATCTAAACAACAGAAACTGTTTTAAGAATCATTCCAACATGAGCCATGATGGTAGTGGTACTCATATCAAATCCCATGGACTAAATAAAGACGTCTAGCCCACGCGTACTAGTTGGACTGTCTTACTTACAAGTGTCGCCATCCAGAGTCTTCAATGTCTAGTACTCAGAACGGGGTCAGTAAGCAGTTTCTGGAAGTTAGACAGCCCTTTCCACCATGAACAAATTTAAAAGGAGTCTCAAAACGCATGCTTTGGGGAGCCTATATATCACTAGGGATATCAAATAGTACTATATGCCTATTAATGATAATACATCTATGGTTACCTACTTTAACTCGACAAGATATATTAATACCTCAAGACGTAAAATAGCGCGAGTACTACTGCAACAAGACAAGGCCATATCAAGGACTTTTTCTGAGGGCCAATCTATGACAAAGAATAAATGCACGCCCCGAGTTAACAAATTTGGATACTCTAAAATCAGATGACATTAATTGGGGAGAAGGGTTTTAGCGTTGAGAAACCTCAAACAACATGCCATTTGTTGGACTATTACTATCTTGAGCCCGTTGGATAAAACCAGGGTAATACAGAGGATAGACATGCATAGTTTTTTTTACCCGAATACACGCTCTATTGATGACCAAACATTAACGAATTGGGCATCCATAGGGTTGGTTAATTAGTAGCCATCTTTCTATCGCCTGTTAGCTGGTCTGAATAAAAGGAGCAAGAAACCTTTTTCATCCCTATATCACCGCAGAGGAACTATGGCTACATGTACGTACATACTCCTTACTCCTGAATTAAATAAAATACCTGTTCAGCTAGCCACTATTTTTGCTTCAATGGTTTTTACTTTATATATTCTTCGTCAGATGCCCTTCATGTAGGTAACCACGAGTACAAATATGGCTCCACAAGTCGATATGCCTCAAACACACTCATATTTTAAGTTTAAAGAAAATATCTCGGGTACCACACGTCTGCAGCTTAACTAGGTCTCGAAGCTCATCTCCTTAGCCACACTTTCGTCTCTTTACGGGTTAAGGGGTTTTGCACACGAATTGACAAGATAAATACTCCATTCCACTCGATAGTGAGGCACCGGGGTAAAGTATTGTCTCCGCTCAGTCATTCAGAGCTCTAGGGTTTCCAGCTCATTATAATAGCTATATAGATAATAGTAGTAATAGACGCTCGCGTGCGCTCAAAAATACTCTTGCATGGGCGCTTTCTAAATATATAGCTATCTGTGCTAATGGTTTAATTTGCAAAGAATAGGATCTCAACCCGTTTGGGCTGTTAAGCCACGCCGCTCGTCGCACACACATACACATAGGTTTGAAGATTCGATGAAACACGCTTAAGCGTTGCGATGCATGGACTCATGAGGCCATATCTTGCCTTATGGATTTGTTAGCGTATGATACACTTTAGTAATTACTGTATACAAGGTGCGGGAATGCCGAACCCCAAGGTATTTACCTGGGAGATAAAACTTCGGACCAAGTCTTTAAGCCTCTAGAGCCAAGACTGCAAACGCAAGGGATTAAGAGATTTATTGGTAAGCTCTCTTTTGCCAATGAACCCTTATCATAGAGTAGGCCCAAACATCGATGGGCTGGTGAGGAATTGTCGAACTTGTATCACTGCCATGATCTGCTAGCAATCGTAGACTTTTATTATTTATATATGCACTTTAGATTTTCGCCCTGTTTGGTACGATTATTCCCCCGCGAGACCTAGCTATAGAGTCCTAACATAATCAAGCGAGTGAGGGGCTGTGATCCGTTGCTAGGTTAAAGCGCTTCAATCGTCAATCACGTCTCATAAAGATAGATCATGACGCGTTCCATGATCTGGAAGTCTTGGGATTGTCGACTGTCCATTAAATGCCGTCCGTCACGGTGTGCACTGCTTCGCTTCTCTAACGCCCAAACCCATATATCAACACAAAGCAACGGAACACTTCTCTACGATGTACTATCGCAACTATGGCATCTGTATAATAGTGAAAGGGCCATTTTTAGCCATTATGTTCCAATGTGGTAATAATAAATGGTTGTTTTCCACGGCCAGTGACGAGGGAGCGCTTAGTTACTAGCATTAGATTAGGTGATGAAGTAATGGGGAGTCTTTGGCAACAACAAGAACCCTGAGAATTCAGTTAAAAGGACTGTAACCCCAAGGAAACCTCCAACTCTAGCCAATACAATCGTCTCCAAACCCTTTGTTACATGCTTCTCGTGTGAGGTGCGGCAGCAGATGTTGACGTTGTCATTGACATTGTGGGAGTTACCCTGCAGGGCCCAGGGCTCAAGCCCTACCCTAGCAGTCTCAACACATTCCACAATCCTCGCACCCGCACCACCGCGGCTATTGATTCTGGGTGTGGGAATTGCCCGAAGGAAAAGTGACGAACAGCAACCAAACCAACCTCAACAACAGACGACAACCACGACCACCCCTCGAAGATAGCAACGTGAGTTTCCTTGTCCTCTTGATCCTCCTTGAGAAAAATTGATTGTTGCATCGTGCTGATTGAATCTTCTATACAGAATGGGTACGTTACTCCGAGAGAAAAACATCCCGTGCTTTTTTTCTTTTGGTGGTTTGGCGATGGGACGCAACGGTGGATTGGAGATGGAGGTAAAGATGGATGGGATTGGCGAAAAACAAGCTGGAGCTACAAGGACAGTAGCAGAGAACGAGAAGAGGCGGGACAGGGTTGGGGTGCACTACCATGGTGGTGCTATGTTTCTCTGCTACTCGGGGAAAGAATGAAGCCTCCATCTCCATCCTCCATGTCCAACGAACCCGAACCATACCGCCAACAAACAGAAAAAAGAAGAACTATAAAAGCAATGACGCTGACAGCAAGCTTTTTTTTCTTCAACAGGTCGCCTTCAAGAATACCAAGTCATTGGGCGCAAGCTCCCGTCGGAAGCCGACCAGACCCCCAAGCTTTACCGCATGCGCCTGTTCGCTCCCAACACCGTCGTTGCTAAGTCTCGTTTCTGGTACTTCCTTAAGAAGCTCAGGAAGGTTAAGAAGACCAACGGTGAGATCGTGTCTTTGAACGAGGTACGTTCCTAGCAAGTCCCGTCATTTGGAAAAGAATGGGAGGAAAGAAAGCAGAGAACGGGAATATATAAGGAATGGCTGTTGATACAGTGGGGGAATTTATAGATCCACGAGAAGCGACCCATGAAGGTTAAGAACTTCGGTATCTGGATCCGTTACGACTCTCGCAGCGGCACCCACAACATGTACAAGGAGTACCGTGAGCTCTCCCGTACAGATGCTGTCGAGGCCCTCTACCAGGACATGGCTGCCAGGCACAGGGCTAGATTCCGGTCGATCCACGTGAGTAGTCCTTTCAAGTCTTCGTCCTTGAGGAAGAAAACTGACATTTCTATGTGAAAATAGATCCTCAAGGTTGTCGAGATCGAGAAGACCGCGGACGTCAAGCGCCCATACACCAAGCAGCTCATGACCAAGGGTCTCTCTTTCCCTCTGCCGCACCGTGTGCCGAAGAGCTCTGCACGCAAGGTGTTCAGCTCCAAGAGGCCCAGCACCTTCCATTAAACAAACAATCTTTCTTTTCTGTTTTGTGTTGGGGGTATTCTGTGCTTGGGGTCGGTTGTGTGAGGAGCCGGGGGTCAAAATTCTGTGAACATAAAAATTTACGGGTTACATGGGGTTTTTTCTCTTAAAACAAATAAATAAAAAATAACTCTAAAAAAATATTCTAGTGTATTGGCTCGGGGGCGGGGAAGAAGGGGGTTTACTGCTTTCTTTTTCCTGTCTTTTATTCTTTTTCTTCATGGGGATGGCTTCTTTGTAAGAGATTTGTCGGCGTCCAAGCACACAAGCACAGGCACAAGCACCTAGCATTCAGCAGCACAAACGAAAAGAAAGACCGAAAAAACAATTGGATAAGATACCTCAGGTGTTATTACTTGGTAGATAGTGATGTGTCGGAGTTTTGGTTTCTTTTGTCTTCTCTTTGGGATGCGATGGCATGTAATTTGGATTTCCTTCTTTCGAATAACATAGTTAAAAACAATGAATAGCACCTTTGGAAATGTTGGTCCATATATCAAGAACTCTCAATACTCACAGATAAGTTGTGAGAGTCGACAAGAGCGATATCTGACGCCTGCCAAGAAAGAGAACTTTCTGTGGAGTTGACTTTTCAAATGTCATCCCACACGTGACCCCAGAGCCGCATCCCCACCACCGGGGAAGCTCCAACACCTTTAACCTCACCTCTAGACCCCGAGAGTGACTTTACTCACTCTCTCCCTACCACAACCACCACCATGTCAGCTCTCTAGTAAGCCCCCTTACGCCCCTTCCTCCTCCAAGAGCCCTCCATTACTAACCCCACCACAGCAAACAATTCCGCCTTGCCCTCAAAACGCAGAACGGCCATGCCCTCGGTGCCGTTTTCTCCCCGCGTAACGCCGATATATCCTCCTTCGCCTTCTCGACAAACCATGCGAATGTGCGCCGCGACATCGAGTATGAGCTCTCACAGCTGCCAGCAAAGTCCCGTCCTGCCTGGGTCGAGGCATTTATAGGACTGTGGAAGGTCGCGTATACGCTGGAACGCGACGAGGAGCCTGGCGCTTGGGCGAGGGCGTATGAGGGCCAGAAGGAGACCATGTTGGCTGTTGTGAGAGGGTACCAGAATGCTAGCTGGCCGCATTGGACTCTGCCTGTTATGTACACAGCGTGTAAATATTTGAGGACGATTGCGATGAAGGCGGATGAGGAGGGGAAGACGGGGTGTTTGGAGGACGCAGCGAGAATCGTAAATAGGGCGTTTACGGTATGCATCAGTGATCGGTATGTCTTGTTTTTTCTTGCTTTTCTGAGTGGTGCGGAGTGAGGGCTAATAGAGAGAATAGAGCGCCGCTAGAGGAGTCCCGAAAATGGGGGACATACTACATCGTCAACCTCCTGTTCAAAACATACTTCAAGCTTAACGCCATAACACTCAGCAAGAATATCCTCCGCGCACTAGCCGCCACAACCGCAGATATGCCGCCACTGAGCGCGTTCCCCAAGGCGCACCAGGTTACATTCAAGTACTACGTCGGTGTCATTTACTTCCTGGAAGAAAACTACGCCCTTGCCGGAGAGAACCTCATGGACGCGTGGAAGCTTTGCCATCCGGACGCTACAAGGAACCAAGAGTACTATCCCCCTCTCTAACCACACCAACCAGCTAACTGACTCCGGGTAGATTAATCCTAACCTACCTAATCCCCACCAAGCTCTGCACGACACATACTCTCCCCACTGCCGCACTCCTCTCCCGCTACCCCCGCTTACACGCACTCTTCGCCCCCCTCTGTACAACAATTAAGTCCGGCAATCTCATCGCGTTCGACGCTGCCATGGCTGCGGGCGAACAAGAGTTCGTCAAGCGCCGTATCTTCCTAACACTGGAACGCGGAAGAGAGATCGCGATGAGGAACCTGTTCCGCAAGGTGTATTTGTACTGCGATAAAAGTACGAGGATACCAGTGAGGACGTTCCAGGCAGCGATGGGCAGTGGGAAGGTCGAGGTTGAGGGCGAGGAGGTGGAGTGCCTGATTGCGGGGCTGATATATAAGGGCCTGGTGAAGGGGTATATCAGTAGGGAGAAGCAGATGGTCGTTTTGAGTGGGACTATGGCGTTTCCGGGAACCGGAGTCTAGGACATTTTCATCTTCCTCTCTTTTTTCATCTTTTTCTTTCTTCTTTTGGTTTTAGCTCACTTTTTCCCTACGGACCTTGATGGATGATATGATATTCTTAACGGCCGAAATACCTTGAAATAACTGTATAGATGAGATTAGATGGGACTCGAGTTGATATTAGCACAATGCGGCCATGAACCCCTGTCAATGACAGACCTAGAAATTGGTTACCTGGTATGTAGCCAGCGGAATATGAAAAGCCGGGGCTTGCTGTAAAAATCGGGGAACTGCGGATATGATAATGTCGCTTTGTGGGGGAAATCTACTTTGAAACACTAAGAAACGGCCAGAGCTATAAAGTTTATAAGGAGATTTGGGGTTACATGCTATCTCTATAAATTTGATCATAAATTTAGCCAGGGAGTTTAGGTGTGTCTAAAAGAAACCTAAAGGAAAACAGTTCCTTCCTACATCATCGCCAGTTACATATCGCCGCAATTATTGTTCAGTTATTTTGTTTCCAGTGTATTTGATGGTTGGTACATAGGCGCCCACTTTCTACGGTCCAACTTGTTATTCCCGGGATTATTACTATCGAGTGATCGCCTGTGATCTACCGAGTGATAACACATGATGATAGTGCAGATCCGTTTCCTCCATCAACGCCGCCACACCAGCTACGACCCATCAAACCATCTATCACGGATATATATCACAACACAAAAAGAATCATTAACAACTAGCAGCACGAAATTTACAACGCCATAGATAGGAGGAGCGCCACGTCTGTACGTCTGCAGTACCCATATGGGTCGGTCCTTCATGGGACGAGATAACAGCGCGCCCCCCACCTCCCCCAATCGAACGGAGAGTTACCCGCCTAATTTCCCTTCAAAGCTTTTTTTGTGTGGGGATCGAGCTCTTCTGTGTGTTTTCGCACTTGGATCTACTGCGTGAGAACAACCTGTCTCGATTTCATCTATGAGAGACATTATCCGTGGTGTCACGACCTGAACCTAGCTTACAACAGCTATACCTTTGGATTCATAATGAAGCATTCCGAGCTTTGTGAAACCCAACAAAACATGTTACCCAGATATCATGGCGTATTGAGATCGACAATCGGTCGCTCACCAAAGTCACCAAAGTGCAGCAAAGCACCAGGCTTAGCGCACAGTCGCTCACTCGAGCTGGAAGATGACGATATGACTTTTCTATTTTAACGCGTTCCGTCCTAGGAACAGAAGCACTTTTACTTCGGATACCACCCTCGACCCATAAATAGTTCTTTACAGATGAAACCAACATACGCCACCGATCGAGGCTCTCCGCGATTACTGGAGGAGGACTACAGTGCTCGATATATGCGTATCGATCTGGGCCTCTTGCTCCCTGGAATGTTGATTCACCGGGAGACCTGGGTAACGACAGAGAATACAGTTTCTTATTCATCTGTCTCTAGACTACAGTGTCTTTCACTATGCTCGGGTACTTCATGACATGTAAGTTGATTGACTTGAGAGAATAAAATCCTCTCCTTGGCATGGTTGAAGGCGGGTCTTTTCGCGTAACGTTCGCTCAAGCCCGTACTTTGAGATCGACACGAACCAGCTATTTGCTCTCGATTTTCAGCCATCGCTCGACCACTTTACATGGTAGGCCGACATACGTTAGACTCCCTTGCATAATAATCGTACACTAGATATTCCCAGGGAGTTGTGGGCGGTACGGTTAATAGGAATCGTGCCGCAATTTTGGGCTCGGAGGAAATGATCAATTAAAATGACCAACATAACGCATGCCGCAAAGAATCTGACTGTGTATGAGGTTTGCAGAGAATGCTCCCGTAAAGGATACCTTTCTGGGAGACGCACTGGATAGCACTGTGGAGGATACTATGGACACTGTCGGAGGCCATGGACCCCCAACTCTGCTCCCTGAGCATGCTTGTACACACGACTGAAAAATATATCAATATTTCAGGCCAACAATCAGCTCACTACATCTGTAATCAAGGATGTCGAATCCTGGAAAACTCATAATTAGCGAGTAGTTAATGGCCGATCTTTACTAGGTACAAGGGGGCTTTAACGCTTAGGCCTAGTGCCTTTCAACGTGTTGGCAGATTCCAGCCATTTTTATGATGGCCCAAGGTGTAGTCACCGAATCCCATGAGATTCTCTCATCTCTTGGGAAACCCTTTATCAGTTGATCGTCACCAAAACTTGGCCCCCACGCGAAACCCCGAGTGACCCCTCATGATCACACACAATAACTTCTCCTTCTTGTATGAGTATTTTGGGAGTTGAGATTAACCAGCCGGTACTTCGGTGTTTTCTGCGCCGTTCTCGACCGATCCTGCTAGGTTGAAGCTGGCTAGGGAAGCTCTTTCAATTCGGTAGTTGCAGATGCATCAATTCAACTGGTGCGTATCGAAACATTGCATGTTTCAAACCTGAGACACGGCGCGACGTATCAAAATGCTAAAAGTATCCCCCGGTTGTGCCCATTTTAAACTCGAGTACAGCGCATATTCGAATCGGAACATTTATTTCTGGGACTTTCCCGCAACGTGAGAGATTTGCCTGAATGCCTGGCTAGAGTAGAGGATGAGATGAGGTAGATGCTCTTGTCCTAGGAGAGCTGTCGTCCGTCCCACACTGCTGTGTTGAATGGTTGAATGCAAGAGAAGGTGCGGATAAACTCCAGTTGAAGGTTTCTCCGTTCCCCAGATTTTCTAGGGCTAGGGCCAGAACTTTAGGCTAAAGTCAACACCTTTTTGACTTTTGAAGGTCACATGAACCTCCTCGCCCGCGCGTAGTGTGTAGTGTGTAGATCCTGAAGGTAGAAAAGGCTTTTTTGAACGACCGCAGTAAGAAGAAAAAAGAAGATGGAGATGGAGCTCTCTGACCGATGATATTATTAGGCAATTTACTTCATCCATTGGGACTGATGATGCGATGTAGAGAGCGCCCATTAGGCTATCGGATGGAGACCTGAGACAATAAGGGTCCAGGAACCGCTGCTTCCACCGGTCCACGGTCAATGCATCGTTAAACTCACGATCCCCGGTGTTTCCCCCGCCGCTGCCTCTTCTTGTGTGGGGTTGGGAGCACACTTAACTTGTGGAGTTGAAGAGAGCTTTCGGCTGAATTGCTCGGATAATAGCAAAAACCATCCGCAGGGCATCGCATCTCAATTAACAACATGGGGGAGTGAAACCCGAGGTTTGACCGATGAGGGCAAACATTTTGATGCATGAGATGTTTTAAGCAAAAGTTAACAGATTTTCTTTTCTTTTTTTCTGTCTTTCCTAGACCATCTGTAGTTTTCAAATAGTAGCTAGCGTCTTTTTACAGTTGTTGCCGGGAATTTATCCGCGATAGTAGTCTACTGCTAGCAACGGGTAGGATACCGTTAGTGCTTGACATAACGGATTGCAAAATACTTGGTAGCAAAGGAGGGGCAGTATATAATCCCCCCAGCTTTCATCGAACCACTTCAGTTCTCTCTATATCACATCTCGTCGTTCTGCATCTGAAGCTTCAAAGTAAGAAAACCAAAAAATCCATCTCCATCTCCATCCTTCATGATGTTTGTTCGTCCAAGTGTGTTTCGTGTTCTGACATCATTTCCCAGACGATATATCTCCAAACCCTCATCTACCCCGCACATATCCTACTTTTCCCCCATCCGTAAATTTTCAACCTCCAGAATCGCAGCTATGGTCAACGTTCCAACCATCAAGCTCCAGCCTTCCGGTGATGAGATGCCCCAGGTGGGCTTCGGACTATGGAAGGTCACCAACGCAACCTGTGCCGACCAGGTCTACAATGCCATCAAGACCGGTTACAGATTGTTTGACGGAGCCTTTGGTGAGTGCTCCCAGTTGATTTTTGCCTGCTGAGAATTATACTGATGTTGGAGACAAGACTACGCAAACGAGAGGGAGGCCGGTGAGGGTGTGAGACGTGCTATCGCTGACGGACTCGTCAAGCGTGAGGACCTCTTCATCGTCTCCAAGCTCTGGAACACCTTTCACGACAGGGAGCACGTCATTCCAATCACCAAGCAGTCACTCGAATGGTGGGGTCTTGAGTACTTTGACCTGTACTACATCCACTTCCGTAGGAACCCCCTCTCCCTCTCCCCATAAAACTTAATCATTGGGCAAACGGCAGTTATTGACATGACAAAACAGCCGTCGCTCTCGAATACGTTGACCCTGCAAAGAGCTACCCCAGCGGATGGCACACACTCGAGAAGAAGATTGTCCAGAGCCGAACCCCCATCCAGACCACTTGGGAGGAGATGGAGAAGCTCGTCGACCTGGGTCTTGCAAAGAACATTGGTGTCTCGAACTTCCAGGGTGCGCTCCTGATGGATCTCCTCCGCTATGCCCGTATCCGCCCTTCGGTCCTTCAGATTGAGCACCACCCATACCTTACCCAGGAGACTCTCCTCTCTTTGGCTAAGGAGGAGGGTATTGCCGTCACCGCATACTCATCATTTGGACCACAGTCCTTCCTTGAGCTCGAGATGAAGAGGGCCACTGATACCCCAACTTTGTTTAACAACGATATCATCAAAAACATTGCTAAGAAGGTTGGGAAGACCCCAGCTCAGGTCCTGCTGAGATGGTCAACCCAGAGGGGATTGGCCGTTATTCCCAAGAGTAATGCACAGGAGAGGTTGTTGCAAAACTTGGACGTTACTTCGTGGGATTTGGAGGAGGCCGATATCGAGGCAATCTCTAGCCTTGACAAGAACTTGAGATTCAACAACCCCACTGATGTGAGTTATATTCCTTTCCTCGTTCTTCTTATTACTCCAAGATGATGGTGCTAACGCTTTTTGCGAAAAAACAGTACCTCGGAACTCTCCATATCTTTGGTTAAAAGGATGTTGTATTTTTGTGTTTTGCTTGCTTTGGGAGAGAAAAAAAAAATTAGCTTAGCAGGTTCAGCATGCGCATGTATTGCTTGTAGTTGTAAATAGAAATCAATGGACTTGATTTGAACAAAAAAAAGCTGCCCTCCTAGTGACCTCTCTCCACTTCAAGTATACATCCAATATCAATTTTTCCCGGCCTGCATCAACATCGCCTAGAATCTTCCCCCAACACTCTAGAACATGCACGCCTCAGCATCGTCAAGCAGGCGAAGTCGTGACGTTACTTTACACTGGTAGTACTAGAGATCTAGTACAGCACCCGCACGGACCCTCGCATCCACCAATTCCAAATCGCAAACGCCACGGCTGAGGCTGTGCAGTGCTCTTGGCACCACTGCCAGCTGCTGCCGGTACTGGTGCTTCACGAATCATGCAAGGTCTCGAGAGGCGCCAACAAGCCGCTGGACAACACCTCCCTCAGCCATTCCAATTCTAAAGGAGGGTTCCTCGGGGAGGATAGGAGGGTGAGGTAGAAATATAAAGCCACCACCCCCCACCCACCCTTACCTACTACCCAACTCAACTCGCTTTGAACATCTCGCATCATCATCATCATCATCATCACAAACCAAACTACCAAAACTATCCAAAGCTTACACATACCTTGAAGCTATGCCTTTCAGCTACTCCAAACACTTCAACGCAGGCGGTCGCGCGGGCTTCGGCGTTACGGCGAATAAGCATGGTGTCAGACCGCACTTTAGGTTCAGGTTCTGTGGGCTCAACTGCTTCCGTTGAGCTATCTAGCTAGATATTAAGGTGGGTTTTTGGTTGTTGACTTTTTTGTTTCTATGTAGCTGAGGTGGGGGTTTTGGTTGCTAACGTGGGTTTTTGGGTTGGTAGATCTACACTGATCTGATCTGCGATGCGACTAATGAGTGAACGAATTAAACGAAAAAAACGAAAAAAACCTTATTTTTCTTTCTTTTTTTGCAGCACCTGCATTTCCACGGAATTTTTTTTCTTGATGACGCGATGGAGTTTGTGTGGGCGGGTGGACGGGTTGGAATGGTACGGACGGATGGATGGATTGGTCGGCGAGATGGGCGGCCCTTTTTTTCCTCTTTGTTGATAGCATTATTACAGTTAGCCTCCTTCTTTTATACTTGATTAAAGGAATTCAACTCTCTGAGAATCATAGTATTTGCGCGATTGTTTACATGCTTATCTGAGGAAATCCTTGTCAGCTTAAAATATAAATTTATATGAGCGCAAGAGTTCAATAGCTGTGCTATCTGGTGAAGATTGCCGGTAGCTGTTGTTGAAGACTCAACTATTATTATAATGACACATCTTATAACCTCCTACTCATCTCATCTAGGACTAGCGAATTAATTGATCGTACAGCAAAGTGCGGTTTAATATACTTCCAGAAGTAGCTTGGCCCGCTGTAGACTACTAATTTGTCCACAATTTAGTAATTCCGGGTGAGAGGATAGTCCTTGTAAAGTATACTCGCAAAGTCGCAGTTAGGCCCAACCACAAGCCCAAGGCACATGAACAGCAACACCCAAAAGCTCAATGAAACTAATAAATTTAAAAACCGACAACATAAATCATAACTATCTACAAAGCTAAAAACGCTCAAACGCTCAAACGCTCAAACACTCCTCCCCCCTCAACTCTTCTCCTTCACCACCTCATCCCCATCCGCCTCCACGGCCGCCATCCTGCCCTGAATCATCGGGCCCCTCTTGCCCGTCAGATCCAAATAGATACTCTTCGCCGTATGCGCCATCGACTTTCTTCCCTCCCACAACGGGTAGACTCCGACCATCATCGTCGACAAAAACAACCAGGCAATTCCCACACCGACCCACCCCGTAAAGAACTTCTTTGAAAACACATATCCACTGCCATACATTGGGAACGGCCAGAGGATGAGCAGCGACAGCGTCATGACCACAGTGATGATGCGCGCGATCTTGGCACTCTTGGTGAGGTTCTCTTGCTCAGCGATGGAGTTATCGGAGCTCGAGGGCTGGCCGCGCAAAAGTTCAGGGTCGACGTCCGCGGCAGCGGCAATGTCGGCGTCGTCGCTCTTGCGGATGAGACGCATGGACTCATAGTCGTAGTTGTCGGCGCCGAGGGCGAAGGTTAGAAGAGGGACGAAGACGACGGGGGAGAGAAGGGCGACGACGTTACCGGCAAGCATGGGCATGCTGTGGTGGTTGTTAGTAAAATGTAGTGTCAATGATCGCGGGAACGGGTAAAAAAACTTACTTTGATCCACTGCTCTTGACGGTGATCTCACCGAACTGTACCTTGGTGGTGACAAGCCAGGCGACGAGACTGCAGGCCAATCCGAGGATGGGGGAGAAGGTGGCGGCCCATTTGTTTTGCTTCTTCCATAGGAGCGTCAATGATGCGGGGAGCACGGCGCTGGAAATCATGACTCCCATAAGAAGGTACAGGTATCCCATGGAGACACCGATATGCCATAGCAACACACTGAATCCCGCCATCACGAAACCAAAGATCACAACGCACAAGTGCGACATGTAGATCAAGCTCTTTCCGGTGGCCTTGGGGTTAACATATGTTTGGTAGACATCATATGTGAAGATACTCGAGACAGCAATAAGCTCAGCAGAGGTCGCGGAGGTAACAGCCATAAAGATCAAGACCAATGTACAAGCCGCACCTCCCTTTCCGAGAAGTGCCACGGCTGCATTCGGAAGCACCAACCCAGCTTCGACATCGATATCCGACATCCTCGCCGGAAAGCCCGGGAACGCCGGGTTGGTCTCAAGCGCCAAACAGGCAAGTCCCATTGTCGTCGCGCACAGCCACGGGATCGCGAACCATGAGAGACCACCAAGTACGTATCCGGGGAGCGCGGAGGCAGGTGAGGCGGAGATGGCTTTGTTGAAGTATCCGTTGTCGCAGAAGACGGTTCCAAAGTTGCCGACAATGTTGATGACGAAGAAGATTGCGCCCTCGGTGGATTGCATGGTGAGATATGACCCGCCGGCGTTTCCGGAGACGGGGTGGCGCTCAGCGGCTGCGACAAGGAGGTCGTAGACGGCACCAGGGGAGCCGAGGAGCGGGGAGGTGGCATATGTGGTGAAGGCAAAGATAAAGATGATGACAAGGATGACGACGGTGTGAATGTAGTCTGTGAGGAAGGTTGCCCTGTGGATTGGAGCGAGGTGGTTAGCAATATTCGTGCGAGTGCTGAGGTGTGATTGTAACTTACTTGATACCACCGAACAGAGTGTAAATAATAACACCAACAGGCAAGAGGAAACAGGCTGCAGCTGTGCTCATACCAGTCAAAGAAGTAACCACCGCAGACCCGCCAGTCAACAACATTGCCGTAACCCTGCCGCACAGTCAATACCAATCCCCCAAAGCCACTCGTATAGTAATCCACCGCAACTTACAATATATTAGTACACAGTCCAAAGAACATGAACGTCACATGCGCCCCGGCGCCATATCGCGCTCTGATAACCTCCAAAAACGTATGTGCATTGGGCGCCTTCCTCTTGAGCTCAATGGCCAGTGTCGCAAACAACAAGATCTGCACTGTCGCACCGCTCGCATACCAGAACGGGCCCGAAACTCCGTACTTGTATGCGATCCCCGATGACTGCAGGAGCGTTGCCGCCCATGTCCATGAACTTACGACGGCGGAGGCTACCAAACCGGTCTTAACAGTACGACCGGCGGTACTGAACATTTCTGAGGTTTGGACTTCATTCTGATAGCTGTTGTTGTTATGTTGTTGTCAGTATGGGTCAATGAGAGAGAGGGAAGCAAAAGGATGAGACGAACCGTTTGAGCGCCCAGGTAGTCGCAATCATACCCAAGGCGAAAAGAAAGCCGAGGCCAATGATTATCCCATACCCAAATGCCTGGGAAAGGGGGGCGGTTGTGGTCGTCATGGTAGGTTTGTCGCAGACGTTGTCTTCTCCGCCGGATCAGGAAGATATAATAAGTAATCCGGGGCTGTTAGCTTTCAGGATGGTGGGTATCGAGATCAATGAGGCCGGGCAGATCAAGAGGTTTATATATTCTGTATATTGCTGCCCCTCATAATATATTTGTATCCACATCTACACATGTAGAGTACTCTATCTGCTGCACCTCTCCCGTGACCAGGTGTCTCTATGATCCATTGCATTCCTGCTCCCGATCTTGGGAAAACCTCCCGGGGAATTCCCTCCAGTATTCCGATCTCAAAGGTCCCACCGCCATGGTGGTACTAGTTAACCAGATAGATAGAGATACACAATTAAGAAAGTGCAAATTTTATCTCCTATGAATTTCCGCGGGGGGGACACAAAGATTTCTACACTTCCTTACTCCAAACGGGAGAGATCGGTAGAAGAGAAATTGACTGATAAGACAAGAATTGATCATTGCTGTATTAGTAGAGTACTGGGAGAGAAAAATGCTAATATTAATTGCCATGCATGCACGCACTTTAAAGTTGACAAGCGAGACCGGTAGCTTAACGGCCCCCCGTCGTGATGCCCATGTCGTATTTGGGCTTATCGCATGCTTGTGGGGATTACTCTGCTGAGTAGGTAGAGCACAGTGTAGTGCAGTCGTATTGGGTTGGTAGCAGTTGAGTAGCAGTTGGTAATTAGGTTTTGCAAAGGCACGCCGTAGATAAGGACCAGCCCCAGTCAGCAGCCCTGTCGCCTCTAGAAGTAGGCAGGTAAATTAGCAGTTGGTCGGAAAAACGAAATAGTAGAGTGGCAGTAGATATGATACCCCAGATTCCACAGTTAACTGCTAGGAGAAAAAAGAAAGAAAGTAAAAGCTGCAAACCACCACAACTACCCACAATCACAAAGTCGAAGAGCAGAGTTATTCACTCCCAGCCCAAGCCACATCTCAAAGCCAGCCAGGGTCCCCACGCGAACGAAACCATGGTAGTCTCCGATTCGGCTATAGCCGCAGTCTGTAGGAGAATTGATCGAGTAACACTTCTCCCTTATCTTCTATCGCCGCCGACCAAAAGATGTACCCGATAACAATGCTATGTATTTCTGACCAGCCATCCAGCCGGCCAGCCCTATCAAAGAAGCGAGAATTTACCATCGTGTTTTTGTTCAAGCGCGTAATAACATTTAGTTGCTTGCAGTGTAACATGGCATTCTACTTTAATTGGCAGAAATTGCGAATCGAGAAGATGTAGGTATGTAGTTAACTGCAGGCAGGCAGAGAGGATGTACTGGGGAGATTGGGATTGGTGTGACACATGGCCTTTGTCATGGCCATCTCACCTCTCCCCTCCGATGTCGACGTTGAGAATTTCCGAAGGTTCATGTTTCCGTGGTTTCCAAGAGTCCACTCCTCGCTTCGGTCTCCCCCCTTCGTTCTCGGCAAGCTTAAACTGCCCCGACCATCCCGAAAGCCGTCTAGCCGCGCCTTCCAAGGCTCATCAAGCTTCGCTTGGTATGATATCGGACATGAAAAGTGGGAGCCCGCGCCCTCCCGTAATATCCACCCGGACAAACTCGGGGAGAGGGGCACACGACAATGACGGCGGAGTTATGGGGGCTTGAGATTGTGAAGGTTGGAAGATGAGTGATATTCATTACATTCGCCTCATCAGTTGGGTTGAGCGGTGTTGGTGTTGGAATAACACGGAGTGGATCGGGATTATTTGAGATTGTAACTCAGTATTTGTTTCTTTCTACGGTTCTCTAGTGGCTAGAGGTAGCGAGAATACGCTCGCGTGGTGAGGGCTTCATGAAGGAGCATTGGCTTTAGGGGAAGAATCCCCTCACCGAGAAGATACCAGCGCTAGCTAGTCAGGTACACCTGGTGTACATGGCCAAGAACACAGTTGTGTAGCTACATCAATATCGGTTAGTCGTGTAATCTACTAATCTCTACAGTGGATTTGAAGGAGTGAGTGACATCCCATGATCCCCTCATGCACCACCTCGACCCAAAACGAAATAAACATAAATTTAAGCGTGAGCAAGATCCTCGATATGCATTTTTATGCCGAATTCCAACTAGCTGCCTTTCGGCAGCACATGTTTCAATAACTGTAATAAGACCAAATTATTGGGTGCGGGAAGGGACGATGGTGATATTAATAATAGGATTAGTAGGCCGGTTTCTAGAGCTTTATACGACATAATTAAGGACAGCTTGTCACGCCACCTACATAATTCCACAGTTGTAGTATACGTAGCTGACAGTCACGTATGCTGTACGTCAGTACTTATATGTACTCTTTTGTACCTCAGTTGGTCGTTGGTTCAGGGAAGCCCTAGAGATACAGTATGCTCCATGCTGTAGATCAAACGATGGTTTACGGCGCTGAAGACGATACCTCCAAATGCTACGGCAAATCAATTATTCTTTATTTATTATGCTCTATGTAGAGATATCAATATAAACGAGGCGTAAGCCACTAAAGCAACCCCACATTGTCATCCCACGCTTTCTCAACCACCGACGTACTCATATCTCTTGGTCCCAAGCATCCTTTAAATCCACCAGAGCGCCTGTCTCTTGGTCCCAAGCGTTTCATTGAAGCTTAACCCCCCCCAGGCTTCCCAAGCTTCCTAAGCCTTCAAGCATCCAAGCACCCACTATCGATCGATAGAACTTGATTGTCTAATAGAAACCCTTATATTTCCAAGCCCAAGCTCAAGCTCAAGATCCTACATTACAACCCCTTCTCACGTGCGTGATTACCCCAAGTAACAAGTAACAAGTAACAAGTAACAAAGAAAAAGTAAAATAGACATACCAGAATATAAAAATGAAAAATAAACAAAAAATTTCTACCAAGGAGGGAAACCCTGCAAAAGGAAAAGAAAAACGAACGAGAATGATTCCATATAGCCCATGGCCATCGATAATCAATCTCTACCATGCCAGTCACCGTACGACCACACGCACAACGAAAAAAGTAAGCTTAAAAAAAGAAGGCCGGCCGGATAGGCGAGAACCCTGATCTTCCTGCAAAGAAACGCCGGCCTCCGGCGCACACCTTAATCTTCTCACCGCGCATCCCGGCAAGCAAGATGAAGAAACGATCGCAGCATTTTATTTATTTACTCCCCTACCTCCCGCTCGCCCGACTACTTATACTGCGCGGGCTGCTGATACTGCGGGGCGTTTCCCTGCGGGTACTGTTGCGGCGGAGGAGGCCCCTCCTGGTGCTGCATCTGCATGAGTTGCTCCTTATTCCTATATATCGAAATTACTAAATGTTAGCGATCGACTTACGGCGCTTCAGTTGTGAAGGTTGTGAAGGTTGTGGGTTGGGGGGTTGGGCTACGAACGTTGTTTGACGGTACGGACAGATGCCACAGCGGAGCTCCTAGAATTCGCGTTTGTCAGTTCGGTTCTAGTGGTTGGTTGGTTGGTTGGTTGTTGCTGGGTGGAGTGGTTTTTTTTTACCTCGCCCCAGCCGATGGGAACAACCGGGATAAAGCAGAACGTGAAGAAGTCCCGTTTCTTGATCGCGACGACTGAAGGATTATGGCATCTCTGCATTCACCCAAAAATGTCAGTAAAAAAAAAAGGGTTTCCCTCTCGCGCCGGGGTGGAGTGCGTAGCGCGCGAAGGTGACGCTGGTTACCAAGTACTTACTGGGCATCTAGCTCGGATATGCTCATACCCCTTGAGCGACGACGAGAAGTCCTGGGTTCCGCAAACGAAGAAGAAGAACATGGTGATCAATCAGTCAGTGGGTGATTTGAAAAAAGGGTGGCGTTTTAACTGTAGTAGTAGAGGCGTGTATGTATGCCAGTAGTGAATGGGGAATGGGGGAGCGAGCGAGCGAGCATGTCGTCGATGATTTAAGTTGGCTTGCTCCCTCAACCCCCCGGGGAGCTCTGTTCGCGCCGTGGCGTGGTGTGGCTGTGGGTTGCCGGTTTGGGGGGGTTTGCCTAGAAAGGGCTTACGACGCCTCCCAAGAGTTTTGGTGAAGTTATTTACCTAGGCCTTTCAAAGGGACGTCATCTTTTGAACTTTTGAAAGCAGCCCTTCTATGACGGAAAGAGGAGGGGTGTTTATAAATAGAATTATTTAAGCATGATAATCATTCCTACATCCTGCGTGCGTGGCTAAAAGCTGGATGGAGCCCGTCAGGGTTCCTGGGGAGGGGTTCACTAACGTTAGCTGTTTAGCTGGCCAATAGCCTGTTCACGAGCTGGGATATGTGGCTGTGGCTTGTCGTGTGAATAGCTTCAGTCAACCTCACTATGTGCGTACTGCGTAGACGCCAAGTAGTACATGTACGACGTCAAGAAAGTTCCCGAAAGGTCGTTATGTGGTAAAAGACTACAATACCACGGATTTTATATATATACCGCAAAATCTCAGTTTATTCGGACGGTTGCCAAGAGCACGGCAGAGGAGCTGAAAAATATCACCCTTAAAGGAAGAGATCAGAGCCTTTTACAGCCAACACCGCTCTTGGCAACCGTCCGAATAAACTGAGATTTTGCGGTATATCTACGATACCATACCCAAATGAATGCCACAGCGACTGAAGCTTCTTGTGTGCCTCACCATAATTGGATAAATACAACTTAGCACATTATCAACAATGCATGGCGGTGCACTCCAAGGCCTAAAAGACACCCCCCACTTAATTCAGCACTTCCTCAGTCGGAAGCTGGTTAAAGGTTGAGGATCGAGGGTCGAGGGCCGAAGGTCGAAAGTCGCAATGTCAATATAAGGTGGCAGCTGATTGACGGTTTTCCTGTCGCAATAATTAACTAGGATTCATTCAATAAAACCCTCTTCGAACCCTACTGATCACCAGTGTAAAGCTGGGCAAAGTCCCACCTGCTGTGGCATTCATTTGGGTGTGGCATCGTAGATACACACGAGAAAATTCCGTGGCATTGTAGTCTTTTACTGTTTTATTAAAGCAGACGCCGAGACGGAGTGCCCTTGGATGTAATAAGTAGATTTCTTTCCCTATCCCCCTCAACCTTATCTGCAATCAATGGATCTTTACTATCCGCCCCAGCAACCACTGTTCGAGCAACAGGTCCGGTAGCATAGTAGCATAATGTGCTTCCATCGGGTAGCTGTAGGAACCATTGCCGGAAGAGATGGGGTTCGAATCCCCCCGGGCGCTGTTGAATTGCTTCTTAGCAATATTTTTTTTTCTTATTTTTTTTTTTTACCCTCGCTACGGAAAGGTAGGAGAGGACGAGAAACGTTAATTGCAATGGATTAAGGACGATAAAGTACTTCTTGCGTGTCTATTTCTCTCCCATGGCGGAAGATAGATCGACTCTTCTTCTGCCTCCTCCCTCCCTCAGTCACCGTCCCCCCCCCCCCCCCCCCCCCCCCCGAATAATGAGGGCTCTACAAGACATCGCTAGCCTCACTCCGCGCCCATCTCTCTCCAAACTACCTACAGCAATTAATAGAAATCTAATCGACAAAAAGAATCATTATTGCCACAGAGAGATAGCTTTTTCTACTCTATGGCAACGAAAGGGAGCCGGCCCACAGGAACGATGATGGTTCCAATTATATACGTATTCACACTTCTCTTCGTCAAGGCGTGCACAGCCTCCACGAAAAATACCGAGGGGACGGACTAGATATTGTGTTACAGCGTGAGATAAGGGATATGTGTTGTGGTGTGTGTATGATTACAGAATCATGAAAGATCACTCGCCCCTCAACACCTCTAGCAAAATCACTGATATATCCAGATACAGGTTTCTCAGAGGCGACACCCCAAAGGACAGCGGCAACACCCAAGGAGGCATTTCCGTGTAAAGAGCGAGGGGCTAGCATAACTAACATAAACAAGCGTCAGCGACTGCTTTCTAATTCATTTCTCTAAAAAAAAACGGTCCTCGTTGAATTAAAATACATTTTTCGGTACATACATATCCGCCCATTATACCGATAAGAATTTCCCGATCCCGATAAGTACTCCCAAATCCAGTCCCAAGCCGAAACTAAATGTAAATAAAACTGAAGGAAAGAAAAACGAAACAAAAAAACAAGAGACCCTCCCAAGAAAGAACAAGAAAATATAAAAAAAGAGAGAAAAAAATAACAAGCCAAATTGCTTGTAAGTCAACTCCAGCGGGATTGGGTTAGTGAGAAGATGTTAAATCAACTCTACCTCATCCATACTCGCCTCGCACTCCCCAATTGCAGCCTAGCTCAGCAACAAGGTCTATTGGGGAGACGAAAAAGAATAAAACGGTAAGAATAAAGAGAGTGAAAAGAAATTCGTGTGTGGCAGCGACGCGTTAAGCATTAATCCTAAGCCTTTACTCCTTATTTTACTCGTCCTCCGCCGCGCCCTCCTTCTCCTTCTCTAGCAGCTCCTCCATCGACTGGAATATCGACTCAGTAGGTAACCTTGTGATATTCTCATCAAACACAGGCCCAATTGACGACATCCATTTCTTTCTCCTCTCCATGAGTGTGCGCGCCGCCTCGCCGATACCAATACGTGCCTGGGCAACACCAACACCATTGGGAGCCGACTTCTTCTTCTTGGTAGCCTTCATGTTACGCGTGCGTTTCGAGTATGCTTGTTCGACCTGATTTCAACTGGGTTAGCTTTTTGTAGATAAAGTAGAGAGAGGCGGGGAAACAAACCTGTTTGTCCAAATCGTCCAAAATAGTTGCATACTCCTGGTGCGCCAACTGTTCCTTCAGATGCTCCGCAATCCGCGCCTTCCTCGCGCCATTGATAAGACTCTGATCCCGGAGCTGTTTTTGCAGCTCTCGCAGCTTTGCACTGACGTCATCGTCTTCCCGGGCCTTCCAGTCGGGCTCGCTATTTGTGCCAAGCAAGCCTATGTACTGCATTTCCTTCTGTAATCGCTCTTCTAGTGTGTAGTAGTCTGATTTTCCTGTAGGCACCTTCCATCCAGGTTGTGTAGCCTCTGGCATGGTAGTTGCAGAGGGTGCCGAGGGCGCCGAGTCATGGGTCGGTGTTTCTGGTTCTGGGGCCGAATCAACGGTTCCTTCTTCGGGTATCATTGCGGCCATTATGCGGGATAGTAATGGTCCGCATGAAATTTCCTCTTTTTCAAGAACGTCATCGCTCAAAGCGTCAGAGCTGCCCTTTGGTACATTGGGATTTTTATTACTCGATGGGGCAGGAGACGCGAAGCCTCCGTCCTCGGCTGCCCATACTTCAGAGTAGTGTTGGCCTAGTGTAGGCATGATGTATGGTGTTACCCTATCCCCCCTTTCCCTGAGGAAGCCGAGGTCTTCTTCTGAGAATGGGCGGAAATAAGGGTCGATGTATGTGTTGAATGTGTTCATGGCGACCTGGTTCGACGGCTTCGCTTTGGAGAAGTCCTCGTCGGGAGGATCGCCGGGACCTAGGTCTGTCAGGTCTACGGTGGGGAAGCGGGTTACGGAGAATGCTTTCGCCTTCTTCTCGTAGGGCCATCCTTCGGTTGATGTGGGGATTTCATAGATGGTGGGATCATCGTCTAAGGTTTCTAGTACTGTAAATGGGGGAGCTGGAGCTGGCTGATGTTCGGCGTCTGAAGTACGGGATTTCGATGGAGATGTGCTAGTACGTGAGGGTGATTCGCCTTTGTGTTTCTTCCTTTTCTCTAATGGGGCATCAACGCAAGTTAACATCGTCGTTGACACGTAAATCACAACCCGCCCATATGAAGCTGACCTAGCAACAACGGCCCCCCTATACTTGTTTTGACTGACCTTTGATATCTGATGGGCCCTGATCTGTGGCTTGATGCGCGCCAACAGCCAGGGGCCTCTTTCCATCCCCAGACTTCTTTTCCTTTCTCTTCCGGTCCTTATCCTCCTTGACCTTATCCCGCTCCGCCTTCTTCTCGCGCTCCTCCTCATCCTCTGCTGCCTTCCGTTTCCGCTCCTGCTGCTCCTGCTCCAGTTCCATCTTCTCCTGGCGTTCCTTCTCTTCGATCTTCTTCTGTTCAATCTTGCTTGACAGATCCCTCAGCGACTTGTTGCACACCCGACCCCTCCCCTTCGCATTCGAGTCCAGCGTCAGCAGCTCCGAGCGTAGCGACGAGAGGTTTGTCGACGTGGGTATTGACGACGAGTCCGATGACGAGTTATTGACGTACTTCTCCAGCACCTCGTCGTAGTTGACACGTAGATTCCCGATCGCCTCTGTGGACAGGTGCGTGATTTCCGAGAAGGCACTTGTGGAGGCCGGTGTGGTGTTCCTGCTTCGTGAGCGACGTTGTGAGCTAGCTCCTCCAGGGCCGCCGCCGCGAGTCTTGCCTTTGCCTTTCCCGCCTTTCCCGGACATTGTACCGGGAGGGTGAGAGGATGGGAGGAGGGGGGCGACAAGCTACAGTGGTTTTAAGGTATCTGTAGGTTTCTGCTGGTTGTGGGAGGAGGAGGGGGGGGGGGGGCGCGGGTAGTGAAGGGTTTTTTTTCTGTTATGTTCTGGATACCGGTGAGAGGGAATGAAGAGGGGGGGAGTTTATTTTGACAAAACGCGACTGGGGGGGGCTGGGTGGTTCGGTCTGGGTGGGGTGTGGGAAAATCAGTTGTGGAGATTCATAATGGCGTAAATCGGGGAGACGACGTTGATGGTGGTTTGATGTCCGCCAAGGCCAGTGTAGCGCACTCTAGGAGCGGTTTAGCCTGATGGTGGCGCTAAGCTCAAAGACGCGCTTCCTTTTAAGCTAGCTTAGAGCCTGTCTTCGAGCTAGCTGTCTGTTCGTGTTCCCTAGGCTCCGCGTGTTATCATATCGCGATGATCTATTATGCTGTCTGGTCTGGCGGCTGTCTGTCTGTCGCCACCGCTGTGCTGCCTGCACTGCTGGACATCATACGTAGGGGGTGCATGGCCTGCAAGCAATTCAGCTATGACATTGACGATGCTGGGAAAGAAAAGAAAAACGGGCAGATAAGACAGCTGCAGGACGGCGTCTTGTGAACTGTATAAAGACTCTCGCATCTCTCTCACTCAAAAAGTGGCAATCGCAACCCCGCCGGTGGTGGCGAGAGCTTAAAGGGGCCGTCATGTCATGTCAGCGTCCTGATGAAAACCGCGGCTCGAGCCCAGGCGGCATTTACAGATCGCATTCTCAAATTCTCATATAGAGTAGGGTTTACTCTTCGTCATCTTCCGGGTATCATCTCCTATTGGTACATAGTTTGGACCCTTTTTTATGTTTGTTGCTGGGAGCCAATCATGTGTCAATGTTTGATTTGACATGAAATGAAATGGGGACTGCGAGGCGAGGGACGGATGTAACGTTGTGTATGTAGGGACTGAAAATAGCTTCAGATCAGTCGTACATGCGTAGAATGACATCAAGGAGAGATGGGACTTACGTATATATATAGGTGCGGTGCATGTCTTCCTAATTGTGTGGCCCTCGAAATGAATTGTCAGGTAGTACGGTAGGGTTGTTTGCGTTTGCTCTATATATGCGCACTGTCCTTGTGTCAAGGAGACACTTACAATTGGTCCTTCCTATAGAAAGGAGCAATGCACGCAAATAGAAACAGCACACAAGGAAGGAAACCCATGCTCAAGCCTGTGCTGGGTTCGTTTTCCTTTTTGATCGGGGAGTGAGTGATCGCGGGTCGCAATGATAAGTCCGGGGGGATCGAGGGCATTGAGCTTATCTCAGGCGTTTGTTCTGGGATTTATTTCTAGAACCCTCTATTCCCTGCTTTACCAGAATGCTTCCGTGGAGCTGCAGCTGGTGGGAGAAACGAAGGGCACGGGACAATCTCAGGACAGGATACTGCGGTTTGTGCGATTACTGTGAGATCACGGCTGGCACGTCGTGTAACTGGAAGCTTTTGGTTGGTTCATAGGATATCACTCGGTTGAGAAATTACCAAGAAATGAAGGGAGAGGAGGGAAAGAGAAGCGGTGCGGCTGAATAGACGAGGTTTGGTGGCGATGATCTGGCCGGAGTGGCACGTTTTAAGTGATATAGAGCTGCTTGATGTAGGTAATCGAGAAATCTCGGGGTTTGGCAAAGCGGGTAATGATAGAACCAGCCAGAATCGTGCTTCTCACTAAATCTCCTTCCCCCTTTTTAGATACACATCGGCCAACGCCAACTAACACCCTCTTAGTTTTCGGAACAACAACTAATCATACAGAAGCACCGAATTCGCGCCGAAAAGCCTTCTATACCTACTCCATCTTAAGCTGCACTTAGCCACGGCTCCCCACACCAAGCACTCCCTACCTATTCCCTTAGAGAAAACGCTCGCCCTTTACCAAATACGAGTAGTACAATGGCCGATAGGATTATTGCGGAAACAAGGGTTGGCGAGCGTGCTAAAAAGGCCTAGCGAGTATCAAAATTCGTGAATTTACTAGCAAATCGTCCCAAGTTCGGAGATTTTTGGTCGAGTGCTGAAGCTGAAGCCTGTGTGAAGCCCGCCTAAAGCACGCTTGAAGTTCTTCTTCACTTAATCGCAGCCCTCACCTGCCTGTGCGGCCTCATGGCCCACAGAGCTCGCCAACCCCTGTTTCGCAATAGTTCTACTGATCATTGTATAGTGGGCCACGTCGACTAGAAGAACATAGCTCCCCATAGTAAGAAGGAAAAGCACCAAGTACGAAGCCATGATAGCGAGGCGAGGACCAAGAAACCAGGGGGGGTGTTAGATTATCTCGCCCGGGATTGACTGGAAAAATAAAAGGGGACTGACCTTTACAGAACTCCAAGAGAGGGACTGCACGGTGTACATTGACGAGGGGTAGAGTACCCGCTCATAATTTGCCCTGGGTATGAATGGTATTTGAGGCGCCAGCGGCCGGCCGGCGCCAAGAATGGTGAGGGTCGTCACGGCCGGAGATAGCAGATCAAAGAGCCATACATCTCCCCAATAAAGCCAGCTAAGCGTAATATTTGAGTATATTTTTCAACGCTGACATAGGCAGTGGTTGTCGAGTGATAATCTATGATTAAACGAGGTGCTGTGTATAATCGCATCCCCGATATTATTGTCTTGCAGATTTTCTACTAAATCAACCAGAGCTTCTCGAAAGTAGGTGTCATTATGTGCAGGCCCTTCAGTATTATTAAGTCCCAAATCACAACTTATCACTCGACCAGCCGGCCCAGCAGCAACTTGGCGCTAGCGACTTCCCGTCGACGACCGCAAGTACGCCCTAAACCCGCACTCATCAGTCTTTATCACCCAACAGTCTACCACATTCTTAGAGTGCGGTGATCAAAAAGATACACCCAACAACACAGCCACCATACTTCAAAACCACTGGAAGTGCTGGCCATTCAAGCATTTGCCCTCTGGTCATTGGAGACTTGCTCCCTAGCTACGGTTGGATTCACCGCGCAACCGTATCCAGCGCCTGAGAGAATTTGGCCGGTTCCGTCCAGTGCTAAATGCCTCACAAGGCGTTTTCACCACCGCCTCACGCAGCTGACCCCGCTCCACCTATTCGGAACACGTCCGCATCTCGCCGCTTCAGGAAGACCGTCTTATTTGCGGGCGGCTTCGATAGTGCGGGGAGGGGAGGGAGAGGCTTACTTAGAGCATGCCGGTGGCATGATTGACGGGTCGCCAAATCCCGAAATGTCGGAGATCCAATTAATGCGCTTTAATACTTCTTTCCCATCACTCTCACCAACCTCTACTTTCCCGGCTGCTCCTATTTCTCCACTGAGACGCCTAGAGATTGGCAGGAGGGGTGGAATCTTTTATTTGTGGCAAGTCATTGCGGTTGCTGTTAACGTTTCGTTATGTAGTTTGGACGCGGTCCCAAACCACCCGTACTCCTGTCTTGGAGCCACTTTGTTCTCCAAGCTGTATATATAAAGAGAGAGCCTTCTTTCTCTCTTCTTTTTTCTAATCATCAGTTCGTACAATACGTTTATGTCTTCGGTTCTCTTATTGCTTCAAAAGATCATTCAGAAAACTAAATTGTGTTCAGCATGTGGAAGCTTCCTGCGCGTTACTCTCACCGGCGGGCGGCCACCTCTAGAACTTATACTTTTGACCCAGGAAATGCAGTCGAGGATACGATTGTGCAATTGACCTCTCCACAGGCGAATCAAGGGCCAGACTTATTGTTATGCCAGTCTGGATGGGCTTTATTATTTCCTGACCGACCAGGCTGGGTCCGCATAAATCCAAGCTTATAAACCCATTCAGGCCCGGCAACCATTTTGGCCAAGTGTGCACATATGCACTGAGAGAATGCGGGGTCTATATGGAACCAGGACCCCACCATCCTCAAAAGGCTTGATTCACGCCGCGCACTGGGTCAAACTACTCTATGTCGACCACCGGATCACAATCCACACCCATCTTTGTCGACCCCCCACGCAGACTCCCGTACTATGATGTATTTAGAGTAGGCTTCACCTCTCCTGGGCTACGCTGAGCTGGCATATCATCATCCCCCGTGCAGTAGAGAATCCGCACTATTCAACCCAGGGAAACACAGCCGAAGATATCCGACGCCTGAGACTTTTCTTCTCACAGCTTATCTGCCAAGAAGGGATAAGCTTTTCGCCCTGCTGCACCTAGGGCGTGGCAGCGTTAGTTGCTGCTGCGGGTTAAGCTTTTGCTAAGCTCCTTTTGGCGGGAGGAAGGGGCAGACAGGTCTGACTCGGACACGTGGTTGGGGCACCACTATCTCCTCCTCTTCGTGTGCAGGTTCCAATTGGATTGAAAGAATCCACCGAAGACGAGCGGATTGAGCAGTCACAGTGTCGTTACCAGAGTTCTGTACGCAAGGCTGGATCTCTTGTACCCTCGGGCCCCGATTCATGCCACTGTGTATTCGCACGATTGAAAACTGGGGCTGCTAGTCGGGCACATGCCTTGACACTCTTGCGATGGTGCTCACGCGCCAAATTACTCGCATCGTCCACAGCATGTCTGAGTGATTTACGATGTGTTTACACACACACACATAAAAAAATACATAAACAGACTGGGAACAGCCATAAGAAAAGCTTGTTACTCCTCAATCTGGTTCGCCTCCTCCCTAATTTCCCAGTCCATCTATCCATCCCCGCGGCACAGTAAAATAGGGGAGGGGGGCATCCAAAACTGCACTTGATTGATTGATTCCTTCCCATTTTTTTCTTTTTGCACACACACACTCTCTCTTTCACCCCCCGACTGATCCGCGGGAATTCGGAGCCCGGGTGGACCGGCACCGGCACACCGAGCCTATCTGTTATCTAGCTGCATCGGACAACAAACTCCATGGCCAGCTGCAGCGAAGGGTGCCCTACTACATGTAACTTATATGTAAGTATGGACTCGTGCTCGCGGGTGCTAGTGTTTGCCAGCAAGAATAATACCAACAATGCTGATATTGAAAAAAATGTTGGACGGGAAATTTTGCATGCGGGTGGACGTCTGTAGATGTGTCTCCGACGTTGAAGGGTTCTTTTCCGCGCGCAGGAAAGTGCAAATCTTTCGATGCAGAGGCGGTATACATACCTACCCACTACATTGAACTATCGGAGTTGTTCCGAAAGTTGTGTTTTTTTTTCTTTTTCCTTTTCCTGTGCTTGCGGGCGGCTAGGTATTTGTTGCGGAACCGTGACTGTTGTTCATCATCGGTGGGGAAATTTCCACACTGTCCTGTCTGTCTGTGTTGTTGCACTTGCAGAGAGAGAGAGTCGAGTGCTCGAGCATGCAAACAGAGTGATACCCCATGATCCACGGTTTTCGTTTTCAGGCAAATTCCTTCGGGAAAATTCCTTCAGATGCGGGGGTTTTGTCAATAGAGTTTTCTAGATTATATACTCTACAGCAAGCAAGCAAAGGAGGACTAGCAACAACATACCTGGGAATGATAACCGCGCGGGGTGGGGGGCTATGTACTTATTTTTATTTATTTATTTTATTTTTGGACCTTCATTCCTTCGATAGAGAACAGACCCGTCCTGATACATCGAATTTGATTGATCCTAGCGGGAGAGGTCTCTGCATGTCACACTGTCCAAAAATGCGGAAAAATCGGCAATACTGACGTCGACAAGGTAGGGTGTTGCAGCCAGCTGATGATCCCTTTGTCTGTCTGAGTGAGGCAAGACAAGACATGGCCAGACAGCCAGGCAAGGGGGAAACGGAACGGAAGAGAAAAGAAAAAGAGTCTTCCAATTTGCCCAAGAAACCCAAGAAACCCAAGAAAACGATTCCCATCAAGATGGAAAATGATGGAATAGCTCTTTCCCTCCCCCAAACAGCTCCTTACTTGGATTGGAAGGTGATAAGCAAGCTACACGTAGAGACAGGCTCGGTTGTTGTTGAAGCCAAGCGTTGCCAAGTAGAGATCTCCTTGGATCCGCTCGGCAGCTAAGCCTGTCCCAGTTACCGGTGTCTCAAGTGTCACGAACATACCAGGGACGCTCGCCCTTTGGCGTACGCAAGGGATCAAGTCACTTTTGCTAGCGAGTCTTGTCTGAGCCTGACGGCAAGGCCGAGTTACCCGGCGGTAGCAGCAGTAGATTCGAAACGAGAGAAGAAAGGGTGGGAATGCATGGGAGAGTGAGCGAGTGAGGGAGTGAGGGAGAGAGGGTGGACGCAGCAAGTCACCAGCACAGCGTGGGTGGTGGAGCTGTTATTACGTACGAGTTTGATCAATTGAATTTTGCAGGTCCTGTCGAGAGATGCCAGGCAGACTGTTAGCTGGTGCTGGTAGAAAGTATTTATGCGCATGTACGGCACTCTAATCTGTTACGGCCCAATGTGCCCTAGGTACTCTACTTACGTCCTACTCTTTCTACCATACCAAGAGAATTCTGGCAGCAAAGTGAGGTTTGGAACAAACTAGGCTCATGTAGGTGGGTATCATGAGATTAACGTTACAGAAGACTAGTACTACAGGGTCCCGTCTTTACTGACTGACTGACTGACACAGATAGGACCCCAGTAGGTACAGACAAGACCCTCCGGATTCGCCTATCACCACCACTACCACCACTATCTACCACCACAGCGGAAAGGAGAAGATTGCCGAGGGGAACAAAGAGCACAAGCACAGGGAAAGGTCACTGAAGGAGAGGGAGGGGATAAACATCATTCGGGTATAGCAGAATTGATCACCAAGACATCCGGCGCCATACCTACGCGTCCAAGCCCCTCCTCACAGATCTTGGGAGCTAAAGAGGGCGAGGCTACTTTTCCAACATCACCACCACCACCACTCAACTCTTTCCTTACATCTCTCCCCTCCCCACTTCACAAACTACATACCTCGCTTCTGCCCTCCCATACTGCGGGGGATTGCTATTCGGTTTTTAGATCGACTACTGCCGGCTGTGTTGAATCGTGAGTTGCCCTGGGTAGCTTTCTTGTCACGGATCTAGACGACTTATTGGGCACCATTCATTTGTGTGCGCCTCATTTTCGAGCACCCCACCACCACCACATCATCATTCCCGACCGTTATTACAGCCTTCTTCCATTTTCTTTCCCTTTCCTTTCCCGTGAACAAACACCACCCACATCGGTGCTACTACTACCATTCTGTGCGGACAAACAGCAGTACCAGTATAATATTTCGTTATCTTTTATATACTGTGCTGTTGCCACAGAAATTCGAAATCTCGTACCATCGTTGCTGTTTGCACCCATCAAGGTTCCATTGTCCGTTTACCATTCTCCAACCTTCATATTATCCATCCCCCAGCACCGTCGTCGCAACCATAGATACTTTCAAGCCCTGAAGTCGAGGCTCTCCGAGCCGCAAAAATAATTACCGGTCATGTGTGAGTGCTACCACCTGCCTACTGCTTGTCTGACTGCCTTTCTGCCTGCTATGATATGATATATATTACGCCCTTTTATACCCATCAGGAACCAAAAAGGGAGCTGGGTTTCCTTGGCGCTAATCAAAAGGGAACCACCTTCCTGTGTAGCCGCGGATAGTTTCCACGCCTCCGTCCTCATCCTCCCAAACCCTCAATCATCGAGTCCAGAGCACCTGGCCGAGATCCCCAGAGTCAATGTCCGTAATAGAGATAGAGCTTCCCCTATGTGGGGGCAGGCAGGACCTCTCCTTTGGAAAAAACCAACCCATCGCTGATCTTATTGCTTTCCCCAGGGAAACATCACGTTCGCGACCGACATTGCGACCGGCATCCTGACGCTGTACACTGGGGAAGCCGCGCGGGGCGACGAGGTTAGCGGCCTGCTCTACGTGCCCTCCGTAAACGAGACGACGCTGTGTCCCGACCTGTCCATGCTCCCGGCAAACGTCACGCACAAGGACGACCTGCCCAACGCAAACTACGACCTGATAGGCTTCGCGCCGTGGATCTCGGGCAACTGCAGCGAGCTCTTCCTGAAGGCTGCGCGGCAAGAGACGTCATCGGTGAAGGGCTTTGTGTTCTTCACAACCTCGGAAAATGATCCGATCCCGTCAAGAAGTGACCCCATGTGGGCGGGCATCTCGTATAAGAACATTGACTTTCCGATATACGCCATCAGAGGCCATGATGGGTATCCGTTGATGGACAAGGTCGCGGAGTATTCGGGAAACATGAGTGATGCGTGGGAAGCCCGGAACCTGACTAATTACTACAATTCTAGCGACTACGCACGGGTCTACATGGAGGTCGATACTGGTAATTTGGCCCTTCTCAACTCTTTTACCCGCCAGCTTGCTGAACTGTTAAACTTCTAGGCCAACGAATCCCGCTCCCGGGACTATGGCTATTCCTTCTGGTGGTCCTCGCAGTCCTCATCGTCATTGTCGGCCTAACCTCCCTCAGCATGCACTGGCTGCAATACCAGCACCGCCAGCGCCTCCGCCGCCGCGTTGCCAGCGGCCAAGTCGACCTCGAAGCCCTCGGCATCAAGCGCCTCTCCGTCCCCCGCAAGATCCTCGACCAATTCCCCCTCCGTATCTATGTCGCCGAGGCCCCCGCCCCCACCAATGACCCCATCAGCCCGCTCCCGCCTGTGCTCAAACCGCCCCCACGGCGCTTTGCCGCGCCCGACCCACCCCTCCCGCCGACCCCCGTCACGCGCCGCCCGCCACAGTACAGACACCTCGACACTACCCTCCAGCGCGGATACTCACAGACACAGTGCCCAATCTGCCTCGAGGACTTTGCGAACCAGACGACGCTGGTGCGCGAGCTCCCGTGTCTCCATGTGTTCCACCCGGAGTGTATCGACCCCTTCCTGGAGACGCAGTCGTCGCTGTGCCCGCTGTGCAAGACGTCCACGCTGCCGCAGGGATATGTGCCCACGACACTCACGAACGCAACGGTCCGCCGCGAACGGAACTTGAGGAGGATGCGTGCCCGGGTGGACACTGGCGGTGGGCGCTGGTCACGGTTATGGGGGCGCGGTGGTAACGATACGGAGGCTCGTGCTTTGCCGCCGGTGGTTGAGATGCGGGAGAGCATTGTGGCGGCGCCGGTGAGGAGGTCTACTGTGAGTGGTGGTGGTGGTGCGGGGGAAAGAAGCAGTTTGCAGCCACTGACGCCACCGTCGCATGAGGATGAGATAGCAGAGGTGAATGCGCGGCCGAAATGTATGTGCCCGAATACGTGTGCTGGCTTATGCGTGAATGCTGGTTCATGATGTGTTGACTCGAAGTCTTCATTTTTAGGGAAGCGAGTGTTTAGTGTGATATTTCCTGGCTTTCGATGAGATTTGATTTTGATGAGGACCCATCCGTGCAATGATTTTTCTTTGCTGATGATGCATTTGTTTTTTATGACCTCTGTTTTTTTTGCTTGCTATTTGCTTGTTCATCTATCGCCCTTTTTTTATTATATGGGGTTTTCCCCTCTATCGTTATTCTGATTTTAAAGGAGCGGCTGTTTTTCTTCGTTTTGGCTTTCATATTTGTTTTTAACGTTTGGATCCCAGGTTCTTATTTTTTCCGGCGCCTTATCCGTCTTTCCCCACTCTTATATACCTTCGCTGTTATAATTCATTCATGCACGCATCTAGGATACCTAACTATCGTTATGTCACGCCGTAGGTTCTGTCGCTTTTTGTATCATATACTTTTGCTTTTCCTTCCTTCCAATTTTGGCCCTTTTTTGTTTTCCTGTTTATATACTACAATTTGCTTTTTTTTCACATCTTTTTTTAAGAGGAGCGGGAGGGCAGGGACGGGGACGGGGGAAGAAATAGCATTATGGGCGTTATTCTTATTTAATACTGGGATTTATTGATATTGATCTGTGTGATATGGGGGGCCGCCGGGGGCTAGCTACGTACTTGAACCTGAAGAACAAAATGAAACGATATTATCTCACTTACTGGTTAATTAGTTGGCTGTGAGTTAGTCAGTGCCATCAATCATAAGTATAGCCAGTAAATAGATAGCTGTACATCAAACATCAAACCCGAAATTAAAGAAACCACTAAAAAGAAAGAAAAAAAAGTATTTACAATAAATACCGTGATGTGCCATACCTAAAAACCAAAGCTTAACTCTTCAGCTGCTCAATTGCACTCTGCAGCGCCTGTATCCGGCCCTCGACCCACGCCTGATTCCACACCTCAATCTTCCCGCCCAGAAACGTCGTATTCCCCGGCGTAAGCAGCAGCAGCCCCCTCGCCGCCGTGATATCCTTCAGCACCATCTACACACATACCTCAATTAGCACCAGCACCCCCCACCACACACACACAAAACACAAACACCACACAAACCTTTGCGCCAATCGCCATATCGCCCTTAACCCCCTCCACCGCCTCCAACTCAACAGCATACACCCTCCTCCCCCCCGCATCCTCCACCAACACCTTACACGGCCCCGTCTTCCCCGCCCTCGCGATTGGCGCCGCCCTCGGCGCCTCCCCGTCCTCCCCCGGCACCACCCTCACCACCTCCCGCCCGCGCACCACCTCCCCACGCGCCGCCATCTCAAGCCTATCCAGCTGCTCCATGCGGCTCAAGCCCACGTCCTCCACGGCCACAACCTGCACCGCGATCGGCCCCGCCAGCACCTGCGCCTGCGTGTCGGCGTCGTGGATGCTGGGCGGGAAGCAGAGGTTTGCGTGCGGCTGCAGCGACTCGGTGATGTCGGAGGCGAGGATGCGGAACTTGAGGGAGGCGAGGAGCGCGGCGCCGGTGGGGAGGCGCTGGGTGGTGAGGGTGTGGGAGAGCCATGTGGGGCGGAGATGGAGGTTCAGGGACGTGCGGAAGTGGGAGAGGAGGGTGTCGATGTTGAGGGGTGCGGGTGGCATTGTATCTGGGATATATGATGTGTGTTTGGTGGTGGCGGTGGTGGGGGGAGGAGGAGGAGACGCGTTGAGGTGGTGGGGTGTCACGTGGGTGCGTGTTGCGGGAGAGCAGGGGTTTCTTTGGCAGCGTTAGTAGCCTTTTCATAAGTTGTGTCCACGATGTGCTCTCAGGTGCAAGCAGTGATCTTCAGATAACAAGGTTCCCCCTCCAGGGGTCTAAAAACAGGGTTTCTGTGGCTGGGCAAGCCAATAGGACTCCTCCCATATTTCTACAATAATCTTACCGCAAGCTGTACTAAACTTCAATAGTGTAGATCCCTCCCTCAATATCGCTTCAGATTAACAGGGGAATACCCATTACGCGCAGAGTATCAGCTTACGACTGCAACATGCAGCCCCACTATCATTGTCTCAGACAGCAATATATCAATTACTGCTGAACATCTGAACAACCCCGTTCTAAGCTACCGCTCGACTCCACACCATGGAGCCTTTAACTACTTATTCCTAATACCAAACGGGCCAGAGATACTTCAGCAGGTCTATTTCATCAACACCCTTTGAGTTTTCTGCCTGGCGCGTAATCATGAGACATCACTCGCAGTAACTCGTTGATAATTTGACTACCATACAGTATATTGCCTGGATATACAGCTCAAGCTAAGTCCGCAGTCCAGCCTGGGGCGATACTGTAGCCTTTATCTCACTTTTTCAGTTTTGACGTGATGTGATTATGTATCCAGTCGATGTCTGGGGTTTGGTATGCATCACAGACTATCACTCGCAGCCCGCGCGCCCACCAGTGCTCGCATTCTCCTAGCTAATCATAAGCCAGAAATCTGTACCTCGATAGTATCCACGCGTGGCACTATTAAAGCGTATTGGAAAGAAAGGGATATCACCAGCTAGATGATGGGGAGGATGACAGCAGGCAAGCACTTATCGCCACCGTATGATATATGCATACGATAGAGAAGCATGATCATGGTCATGGTGATTTAGAGACAGCTCCGCAGAGGCACACATATAGAGGGCGAGACCTTGTAGCAACTAGCTCAGCCAAAAAGGAGGTCGATTCCAAGAGTCAAGTACCATGCCAGACGAAAGAAACACTCTCCCACATTGGCTCCAATTTTTTAAGCCTAGAAGTTATGCTAGTATAGTATGGTATCAAAAGCATGGCTTCAAGAAAGGCGTGGTTCATTCCGACCTCTAGCAAAAACCCTCTCATTCGTAATAGATGACGCATTCAGCGTACCGAGACTCCCTAGAGAGTGAAAAAGCTCGAGAACGCGGAATCGTTGCCACTTAGCCGTACTAATATCCGTCGTCAATGGCATCACAGTCTATCACTCGGTCAGCTTCACGCCCGGTCGTAGTCCAGGAAGAATAGAATTGACCAAACCAAACAGCCTCCATCGGGCGGAGAGTGGGTACATGTATGTGGAGGTTAAGGTTTAGAGCATCTTAGCGCGTGCCAACCCCAATCCTAGTTCGTCAAATCTAGGCGAAAAGGGAGGATGTTGAAACAACAAGGTATTCGTTTACTTTTATCTCTGCCTACAATCATTTAACTTTTCTTTCCCTCCTACCACATTTTTGAACCTCAAACAACACCAGCCCCCCGAGGACATCCCAACAACAAACCACTCAAATAAACACTCCCCTATAGTCCCAACGCCGCCACACTCTTCGGATCCCCAAACTCAAAGGTATCAAACCCCAGTCCCAAGTCCCCTAGGTACGCCGTGTACTTCGGCATACTTCTCGCCAAGCCCATCCTAAAATACTGGTGATACCCGACCCCGATCGCCTCTACCGGGCTCTTCCCATTATTATAATCCGACCCTCTACTTGTCTCACTAACCACCGTCCACACCTCTCCGCTTCCGGGCCGGATAACTCTCTCTCCCCAGGGCACGTCCTCACCGCCGTTATACGTCGCCCAGTACTCCCACCCGGCAATCAAGCGTGTATTATTGTGCGTGAAGAAGTTCGTCTGCACGCCTCCAATCTTGCCCTGGATGAGCGCAGTGAGGCCCATATAGCTCACGGCCCTCAGCGTCCCCATCGGGTGTCCCTGGTCCCTGCCCATCTCCGTCACCTGGCCATAGTAGTCCGGCTTCGCGCTGATCTGGATGGAGATGGCATAGTCCAGCGTGATATCCGGGTGGTCGCCCACCGTCGCCTGGTGCACCATGGTATTATACAGCTCTGCGTCCTCCGCGAATACGGCCAGCGCCATGACAGCAGAGTTCCCGTATGCGCCCTGATTCATGAAGAAGTCTGCGCCTGACAGGCCGTCGCTGTCGGTCCACGGCTGGGCGCGGATGCGCTCAAACATGCCAAGATAATTGGCGGTGTCTGTGGATGTCCAGCCGGATGCTGGAGATGCGCGGAGGATCTCGGCGGCAGCCGTCATATAGGCCATTCCCTCGCCGCCTTGGATTTGCTCGTTGAGGTAATTGAGTGTTGTGGACCACGCACGGATCACAGTGAGGGACCTGTCGAGCCAGGTGGTGTTGCCGGTGGCATACCAGCCCAAAGTCATAATGTAGGCGGCTTTCCCGTCAGTCTGGAGAGGAATATTGTGGCCGTCGTCGCCGGCCCAGATGACCTCTGCGTAGGGACCGCTCATGGACCATGTTGAGGATTTGAGGAAGTTGCATTTGGAGATTACACTAGTGAGGGCGTCGGTGAAGGGAGAGGGGCCAGCGGAGATCTGAGATTGGATGCGGTTGAGAGAGGCGCATGAGTGGTAGATCCCAGGGTGGGTAAAGCCATTCGATGTGGTTTGAACGCAGGTTGGGAGCGCAGCACGGGAGGTGAGGGGATGGGCGAGGGCAGAACTGGCCAGGAGGAGCGTAGAAATGAGGGGACGCATGAAGACCATTGTGAATGGGAATATGGAGCTGATGGTTTAAAAACTGTTCCTGCGGGTTTTCTAGGAGATTATATAGAACCTCTCGTGGTTAGAATAGATCCATCTAGATCTATGAATGATCAACTCGAGCTATGAACTCTGCTCCTGTTATTTCCCAATTCCCTAGCAAGACTTAGCACCTGACAATTAAATATGACGGAGAAGAGCTCGGGGGAGGTTCCGTTCTAGCGGAATATGTAACGGAAGAAAATCTATATAAAAATTGTGAGTCTTGCCTACGCTGGTATTTATCTTGTCTTGTTCGTATGATTTAAGGTTTCCCTTCAGGGACTACTACTGCATGATTTAAACAGATATAATACTGCCTATATTAAGGGCTAGAGTGTAACAATTATATTGTCTCGCTAGCCAATTGAATAAAGTATCTGTGGGATTATCAAAGGGGTAATGTTATTTTGTAGTTGTCAAGTCGGTGTTTCTTACCCCCGATGTGGCTGGAATTAATCGATGTGTGGCACATACTCAGTAGACGGTGCATATTTTGTAGATCCCGTCAGGCCAATGTGTGAGTACTACCAACTCCTATTTGAGTAGGTTAGACTGCCCTTTTTAGGTATCGATATTAAGATTTTTATATCATTAACAACCGGCGAAGATATCCCTAGCCCGCAACCAGCAGGTGGGTGCCACTGATTCTGAAATCTCGGTGTGATTCAAGTAAAATACACCGTACTGGGTACTTCATAACCCCTGAAACCCGGGCATGTCCTAAAAGTCCAAGACACCAGGGTAATGATCATCGCTTCACCCTGGGGGCAGTGTAATAAAGCTGACATCCCAACGGCTTGAACCCCGCCAAAGTTACCCACGGATCTTTTTCCTTCAAGTCTCTCGCGGACTCTCGTCTAAACAGTAGTCGAACATGAAAGTCATAGTACCAACTTGAACTCCCCGAATTTGGATATAATAGTTGATAATTCCCAAGGTTCAAATAACTGGCCCACGGCCCGGGTTTGTGGGATGATTACTCTACTTTATTCCCCCATTCCATGTGATTACGTAGATCCTAAATGCACCACCGCGTCATATGCGGGGTGCAATAATCGGTGAAATATCTAGTCCGGAACAACCCCGACAACCACCCCGGACCCTGGGGAACATAACACAAGTGGGGATTGCGGGGTACCCAGATGTAGTGAACGGGTTGCAGGATAGAAGTAACCGTTTTTCTGTGGGGAAGGACATATTATAGTCGAGTGATAAGTTGTGATCAGTGACCTCTGGTTGCAATCAATTATAATAAAACTCACTCCTTGAGAAATCCAAGAACTCATATGTTGTTGGTCATACTTCCTGTGAGGATTTCGTTAACTGTGGCGAGAACCCAGCGTAAATTTCCCTTGATTTAGGTAAACACGATACCTACATGTAGCGAGACCTTACCAGCTTGCGGCGGGCTACAGAGTAGCAGAACAGTAGGTGCCAAGCCCGCGTAGATGCCTGTGTGTAGTCCTGTCGATGCCAAGACCGCAATCCTACACAAGCCCACAATCCAACTAGATGTACTAGTAAGCACACTTCTTCTTCATCCCCAGGGCCAGTTCAGAAGTGAGCTGCAAAAAATCTAGTTCGATCACTGGGAATTCATACAGGAGGAAGGGCAAGGCGCGAAACACGTTTCCTGAGATCACCCATTAGCTCTTCGGAAGGCTGATTTCCAGGTTCCTGCTTTCTCGAGGTTCGTTCTTAACTTTCTTGTTTTAATAGATCTTTGGTTAGGGTATTTGCTGACCCACAGATCCCAGCTGTTGTGGATCGGGGGTTGGGGAACATACAATAGTCTCCGTGCACGGTATACCCTGATCACTCAGTCGAGCCTTTGTACTAGTAGGATATTGAGACCTTGATCCGTGGAAGCTGAATAATAGCTTACTGATCTTTAGGTTCGCTGGCCTCTTCTTCTTGGGTTTTCAAATCTTTATCCAGCAGATTGTTCTTGGTTCTTAGGCTTCGCGGAAGGAAAGATATTCAATTGTATCCATTCCTGTCATTCTGAGTGTCTGTACCAGCTCGATACAGTATAGGTATGGAGGTATCTCACGTGCACGGTCCCGGAGATGAATTGAGCTGATATAGCTTCTTTGATGTACTTCGAAATGAAAGTATATTGGGTGGTTTCCTTATGCTCAAGTCATCTGAGGCTGCGACTGCTTTGATCCATAGTTAGAAGAAGAATTAATTGCGTCGAGGGAAGAGAATTGCAGAGAGAAGCTTTTTCAAAGCTAAAAAAAATAGGACAAATAATTTGTTAGCGGCAAGTTTGAGAGGAGCCCCGGGCTTGTGAGCTACTAACCACTAGCTTCGTGCTAAGACTGGTTTCTGAATATCAGCCAGCAAAGGCTACACCCGGGAACGAGACTACATACAGAACAGTTATCATCTACCACCACCCTTGTCCTGGCCACCTCTAACGAGTTTGGCATTGATACAAACTCTGGGATTCGGGGCATATATTAACATAGCCAATAACACTTGATGAATCTACTGAGCTCAGACATTCAGTTCCCGGGGGCCCGCATCTCAACAGTCTCCGGCGTTACAACATGACTATCGCCCAGCAGCATTCAGGTGCCCCCCGCGAATATTTGTTTCTTACAGAACTACATACATAGAATGTTGTAGGACATGGATATTTTACAGGGACAAGCCAATCGAGAATGAATCAGTCTGGTCCAAGGCCAAAGAACGAGTGTTGCTCGGTGGTGAGTTTGAATTGCCTCGTCCCATAAGTCGCAACATTTGAGGCCTTCGGACACAAAATAGCAGGCTCTTCAACAATTCTTATATCGTTAGAGCCCGTGTTTCTCCATCTCTAGAACGGCCAAAGTCAAAGACAAGCTTATAGGGGATGAATTAACTACCTCGGTAGCCAGGTGCGAGTTTTTATCTCATCTTTACTATATAACTTTTGTCTTTGGTGGCATTATTAACTTTGTGTCTATAGTCACAAAACATCACTCGTTTCTCATCACCACCAAAACCCCAATAAATAAATGACCAATCCTAGAGTTATTTTGTGAGATTTTCATACATTCCAATTCTTTTTTGCTCCAAAAAGGTTTATACACTACAAAGGCTTCTGAAAGTACAACTGTTAAGAGCAACGTAAATGAGGACCTGAATGAACGAAATAAACGGGGAAAAACAACCCGCCCGACCAACCGAAAGACCTCCTACCATCCAATTTTTTTGTAACGGAAAACTACCCAGCATCTACCACCCAAGAAGTAAAGGAAACAAGGAAACTCATAACTGTTACACTGATACATTGGTAAGAAACAAGAACACTTGGTTCGTTTATTCGGCAGTGCTCTTTCTTCTCCTCTTGGTCTTTTTCTTCGGGGTCTCCTCAACAACAGCCTCCTCTTCGGCAGCCTTCTTCCTGCTTGAGGTTCGTTTCCTCTTCTCCTTCTCCTTTGTGGCAGGAGGGCTCGCTGCAACTGGCGCAGGGATGGGGGTCTTCTTGACGGAGGAAGCGCCATTAACAGCCTTCTTTCCACGTGGGGTAGCCTTGGTTCTGGATGGAGGAGGTGGGGGCGGGGTGGGAGATTTTGCCTCCTCCTCCTCCTCCTCCTCCTCCTCCTCCTCCTCCTCCTCCTCCTCCTCTGCCTCCTCAGGTTCGGCCTCGGAGAGCTCAGATTCTTCAGGCTCGGCAGCCTTTGTAGCCTCCGGTTCGGCTTCTGACTCAGCGTCAGATTCTTCGGCGGGTTCAGTGTGGTTAACCGCAGTGAAGCCAGATGCAGCAGTTGCAGCAGCAGCGGGGGCAACAGCTTCAGGGTGGGGCTCTTTGGAAGCCTTGTATTCAGCAAGTTCCTTGTCATAGACGACGCGGTTCTTCTGATACAAATCTTGCCAGGCCTATCAAAAATTGTTAATCAATTGTTCTGCATGTGCCACGCATTGCGAGAAACCGACCTTTTTCTCATCCTCTGGCACTTCAGCCCAACGTCTAGTCAATTCGGCGATGACATCCTTGTGACTAGCGCCATCTCCGAGATCCTTTTTGACAGTCTCACGTCCCTGATTACAAAACAAGAGGTATGCGGTCATGGGCCTCTTGGGAAGGTCCGGGTCACGCTTTTCACGCTTACGACGGGGACGCTTAAGAGGCCCTTCTGGTTCCTCTGTGGTCGCACGTACAGGGGGAGCAACGGATAGAGCTCGAGAGTACGTGGTGGTGAATTGGTGTTCACCATTGGGTGCTCCTCCAATGATGTGATCAAAGTACGCGAGCCCAGCACGCGAGGCTTCTTCGGCCGCGTTACGGAGCATAGTCATTGATGTGACGAACTGGAGATGAATTGAAAGATCCATTGTCAGCGTGATGGAACCAGAAAGAATTTTTCTTTTTCTTCCCTTCTTCTTGTACTTTTGATAAATTACAAAAAACAGCAGAGGAGAAATAAAAGGAAAGGCACGATGAATAATGAAGTAAGAAAGACAAAAGAAGGAAGTGTCTACTATGGGATGTACGCGTTGGAGGGGGCCCCGAGCGCATTTTGGGGGGTGGGGGGAGAAGAACGAGGATGATGGGATGGATGAATGCTTACCGCGTCGCGTTTGCGAACAAGGTCATCGTGTTCACTGTTGACAGCGACCGCCGGCGCAATGACGGCCACCTTGTCTTTTGCGGGTCCTCGCGCCATTGTTGGCAGCGATTGAATGACTGATAGTAAGGTGGGGTAAACGGCGATGTGAGAGATAAGATTACAATGGTAATCTTTTTTTTGGTGTTTAGTATATTAATATTTCACCTTTCTATCTCTTAGGTCGTTATGGTGGACGACTCGGAAAGAGAGAGATGGATGAAAAAGGATGGGTGTTGGGTTGTGTTGGATGCTGGGGAGGGAAAGGGAAGAAGAGACTTTTGTGGGATGGGAGAGGGTGGGAAGAAGAGGAAGAAGAAAGAGGTTGGGGGGTGGGTTGTGTTGGGTGTGTGTGTGTGGAAAATATTGGGGTGCCCGAGAAAGAAAGGACAGGAAAAGGACAGGAAAAGGATGGGGTGATGATGGCCAGCCTACTTTGGTTTTTGGTTGATGGATGCCCCTCTCGACTGTTGTTGCTCCTCGTTCACCCGCGGCGAAAAGTAGTTCGTTGCCTTTTCTTTGGTTCATGCCAACTGCAGACCAAACCCATTGCCAGTTAGCAAGCAACCAAGCGACAAGGCAACACTGGCATAGAGGGCGGGTGCTGCCTGGTTACCATGCAACCGTGTCCAACAGTCCTTTCCCCGCCAAAAAAACATAGACACCTCACCTCTTTCAGTTGAGACTACATCAGTCTACATGTGAGCACTGGCATTGCCATAGGTGAGTTGTGTAGTTAGAAATACAACCCCACCTGATCCTCCAACTAGGTTCATCTAAGCTAAATAGTTCAGTTTATTCGTTAATAACTCGTCTATAGATCTCTCTCTAGATCCCTTCAGATTCACCTCGGGAAGGATTCCTAGGTCCCGAGAATCAAGCCTGATTCTTGGTACGCTTCAGGCATGCCTCTTCACTACAGGGACCATCGTAACTTATCGATTTGTTGATTTTTGGCATGTTTCGAGAATAATGAATTTTTTTTTTTAAAAAAAAAAAAAACTTGTTCACTGATAACACTCACATAGCCTCCTTTGTTCTGCCTTGACCTGTCTTATCGCCGGTGACACTTCTGGAGGCCTAGGGGAAATGAGGCGCGCGGCCGCTCAATGAGCCCCACGGCCATACTATGGTCAACCCAAACTTGTACATGCATGTACTGATCTTGAAAGCGACGTTTTGGGGAGACCGAGATTTTCTTTTCTTTTTTCAATAACGGAAGGCAAAGAAAAGGGCGCAAGGAAATCCTGAATACTGCTCTTTTCTCGTTTATGGCGGGCCACATGTACGCATGCGACGCTTTCACGTCAACGCCCCCAAATTCACTATGAGGGCACTTATGCTTACCCCAACCAGAACTAGTATATGTATTGACGAGATATGAAATTGTAAAACCCAACAGAGTACGACAATAAAACAATTTCATATATAAACCAGACAACAATGATGCAATAAAAATAAGGAGTAACGGAGCATAGTTACATTCACCAATGAAACATAGTTACAGCTAGTCAAATGCTTCGCCTGAAACTTTGAAGCAGAATGTTTCAGGTACCTAAAAGGTGTTCCGTCATATTGTCGCGCAATTCAGTTTATCACAGGAGCGGTTATACGATTATATTTTTTACACAGATATGCTTCGGTTTTCGAGAAGTGAACATGAATGAATATATATCTGCATGTACAGCTCGCCTCCGAATACCTAGAGTAAAATTTTCAGTACCGAGTAGGTTTCCTTTTTTCTTTCTTTCTACAAAATGAATCGCAGTATGGCTGAATTCCATCCAATTATTTTCGCACACCCGCTATAATCAAGCTTTCTAGCTAGTACTAACTGCCAACTTGAATATCTTTAATGTCTTGATAGCAGTTCCTGGTGTGGCCAAAGCACGTCTTGGGATCCGTGCTAGCAGGTTGCTTATATCTACGGTAATTTACGGATAATCCGACTTCTTGAGCCGGATCATTCACCATCAAGATCGTGTGTAATATAAGGAATAGATATCTAGTTCAAACCCTTGTGGGCGTCCAGGGCATAGATTTATCCTCGAAATAAGCCATAAACTCTTCCAAATATTTATTATATAGCTTCTAGCTGAGTGTAAGGCTATTGAGTCATCCTCTGATTTCCTTCCCTCCCCCTTTCCGTTAATGCCAATTTCTGCCACTCATTACCGTGATATCGACTGAAAAACTATGCTTTCACAGATATTACCTGCACTTATATCCACTTTTTCGCGGGTCAATGTATGTATAGAGGTTTTGGATTTATCTCTCCCATCAATAACAATAGTAGCGGTGATGCCGCTTGCAATTGATTTAATTCGAATTCATTGAACCATCTTCTATCACTTTACAGGTATGTTTAAGACCGATGACAGAAGCTGCTACGAGAACAGCAAGATTGCAC